GAAGAAAAATAGGTACCCCCTCCGACTGATAGGCATCTTAGTAGATCAACTGTGGAAGGCGAAGACCTTCACAAAGATCAACCTCCACGCAGGATACAACAATGTCACGGTAGCCCAGGGACATGAGTGGAAGACTGCATTCCGAACTCGGTATGGGTCATTCGAGTACCTAGTAATGCCTTTTGGGCTCACGAATGCTCCCTCCGTGTTTCAATTCTTCATGAACGAGATCTTTCATGACATGGTGGACGTTTGCGTGGTGATCTACTTGGACAACATTCTGATTTATTCAGACGACGATGTATCCCATGTGGAACACGTCAGGAAGGTCCTTGAACAACTGCGGGCAAACCACCTCCATGCAAAGCCAGAAAAATGTGCATTTCACATCGACATTGTCGAATACTTGGGGGTGATTATATCACCATTGGGAGTATCCATGGACCCAGATAAAGTGAAGGCGGTAATGGACTGGCCAAGACCAAGGACGGTTAAGGAGCTCCAGGCATTCCTCGGGTTCGCAAACTTCTATAGGAGGTTCATAGACAACTACTCGGGAATTACCAAGGTGTTCACAAAGCTCCTCCGAAAAGACTCAGTGTGGAATTGGATGCCACAGTGTAGCAGTGCCTTCGAGCTCCTGAAGCCCCAGTTTTGGGGCATTACAACCCGGACCTACCGGTAATCCTTGAATGTGATGCTTCCGACTTGGCTATAGCAGGGATTCTATCACAACTGGATCCTGAGACAGGGGAGATACACCCCATTGCCTTCCATGCGCGATTGATGATCTCAGCGGAATTAATCTATGACATCTACGATAAGGAGCTCCTAGCTATCGTGGATTGCTTCATACAATGGAGGGCGTACTGTGAGGGATCCCGACACCAGATCCAAGTATACTCAGACCATAACAACCTCCAGTACTTCTCCACTACAAAGCAACTGACAGCTCGACAAGCCCGGTGGGCAGAATTCCTTTCAGGTTACAATTTTGTCATCAACTATTGACCAGGGAGGTTGGGAGCCACGCTGGACGCGCTCACCCGGAGATCAGACGTGTACCCAAAGAAGGGAGCTTCAAGGGACCAGGTCTTAGCGGGGAGGGAAAGGGTACTTATACCTCCAGAACGTCTGAATGCTACCATCCTCATGAACGAGGACCTCCTAGTGAATTGAGTAAGGGAAGCTTCAAAGGACACGACTATGATTGAAGCACTGAAGAGGATTGCACACAACAAGGAGGAATCTCTTGTTTGGGAGGATGGGCTGATAAAGAGGGGAGGTCGTATATACGTCCCAGACGTTGGAACTCTACGAAGGGAGGTACTACAGTCGTACCATGACCATAAACTGAGGGGACACCCGGGGGAGAAACGCACCAAGAAGCTCGTAAACCAGCTGTTTTTCTGGAAAGGGCTGTCCAAGGACGTGAACTACTATGTACAGAGCTGCCACCCGTGTCTGAGAGCCAAAGCCAGTTGCTCCAAACCTTACGGGAACCTCCGCCCATCACCAATTGGTCAACGACCCTGGTCCTTGATCTCCCTAGACCACATCACCCAGCTCCCAGTCACGGCAGGTCCAGAGAAATATGACGCGATTCTCGTAGTAGTCTGTCGACTCACCAAACAGGCCATATATGTTCCTTGTCATACAACAGACGACGCGAAAGACTTTGCCAATCTGTTCATAATACACATCTTCTCCAAGCACGGGATGCCCTCTGATATAACTTCAGACCGGGGCTCCCTCTTCGTGTCCAAATTCTGGAGGGAGCTTTGTAGAGCATTAAAAATCGAGTCACGCCTATCCACTGCGTATCACCCACAGACAGACAGACGAACAAACGGAACAAGTAAACCAATCTGTGGAGGCGTACCTTCGGATCTATTGCTCCTATGACCAGGACGACTGGGACCTGCTCCTCCCAATTGCTGAATTCATACACAACAACACCCCAAATACAACGATGGGCGTCTCACCATTTTTTGCCAATAAGAGGTATCACCCAAAGCTGTCTATTACATTGAAGCAAGTACAAGGAGCGGAGGTCAACGAATACGCATTCAATGTCAAGGAGTTACATGCTTATCTACAGGAACGAATTTGAGTAGCCAACAAGGTGTATGCGCAGTACGCGAATCAAAAACGCCAGGAGGCCCCGGACTGGAAGGAGGGTGATCACATCTGGTTGAATATGGAAAACGTCACGACGAGAAAACCTATGAAGAAGCTAGACCACAAGTGGACAGGCCCCTACTCAATCTTGTCAAAAGTAGGGAGCCATGCTTATTGATTGGATGTCCCTGGGGACCTCCACAAAATTCACAATGTGTTCCATGTAGACAGGCTGAAACCTCACTTCCACGACAAATTCAAATGACAGACTTTCCCGCCTCCCCCAATCCTCATAAAAGGGGAAACGGAGCACTTCGTCAAGGATATCCTTGACTCCAAACCCAAGAAGGGACGACCAGAAGAAGTGGAATACCTGGTAAAATGGGAGGGTTATAGTGAAGAATTCAACTCTTGGGTAGGATGGGAAGGTATGGCGGGATCCCTGAGGCTCCTGCGGAACTGGCACAAGAAGCATCCAAGGAAGCGACAGCCGTCGCAGAGACATTCGGCTTGTTTCGAAAAGGATGCACAGGAAGACGAGGAGGACGAAAAGGAGGATAGGAGGTAGGATCGGAACTGACGACGACAATGGGGACGATACCCCCACGACACTCACAACGAACTAACGACTATGTGCATCGGAGGGTTAAATCAACCCAAAGGCATCATGATTTCAGTCTTATTGATTTTCACAATTATAACGGGGGTTCTCATAACTTAACGAGAAGAAAAACAAGGAAAACCGGTGAACATAACGTAGAACATAGGTACAAAGAGATGACAGGACAACAAGGAGACTATGCAAGAAAGGAACACTGCAACGACTTGTCCTTAACGACATCCTGACCAGCTGCCAAGTCAATAACTTCCCTTGCCACAGAAAAGTGACCAGCACTAAGCTCCTCCGTCTCGTACAGCTCGTCGTCGTCACCAGTAAGGTCAATGACTAGATTTAGTGGATCAGATGCAGAAGGTGAAGATCTTCACAAAGATCGACCTCTGCACAGGATACAACAACATCAGGGTAGCCCAGGGACACGAGTGGAAGACTGCATTCCGAAGTCGGTCTGGGTCATTCAAGTACCTGGTAATGCCTTTTGGGCTCACAAATGCCCCCTCCACATTTCAATTCTTCATGAATGAGATCTTTTATGATATGGTGAACGTTTGTGTGGTGATTTACCTGGACACTATATTGATTTATTCAGTTGACAAAGAGGAAGGTCCTTGAATGATTACAGGCCAACTATCTCTATGCAAAGCTGGAAAAATGTGCATTTCACGTCGACACTGTTGAATACTTGGGGGGTGATTATATCACCACTGGGAGTATCCATGGACCCAGGAAAAGTGAAAGCGGTAATGGACTGGGCAAAACCGTGAATGGTGAAGGAGCTCCAGGTGTTCCTTGGATTTGCAAACTTCTATAGGAGGTTCATAGACAACTACTCGGAAATCACCAAGGTGTTCACGGAGCTCCTCCAAAAAGACTCAGTTTGGAACTGGACACCACAGTGTAGCAGCATCTTTGAACTTCTGAAGTCAGCATTCTCTGAGGCCCCATTTTTGGGACATTATAACCCGGATCTACCAGTGGTCCTCAAATGCGACAAAGACCAATATATGGATGAGTCAGTCTGAAGGCATACAGTGATAGAGTAATTTTTGTGAAAGCCTAAAATGAAGTAAAATGAAGTAGGACTGGCCAACAGTTTCTGGAGACAACTCATCATTTACTCCAATTAACACTACCTCAGTGTACACCTTGCTCTCATATACCAGCGAACCTGCCATGTGCGTATCCTTTCTGTCTAGTTTCCATGATTACACGCAGTTTCTTCACTTCCTCATTATCACTGCTTACTTGTCCTGTAATTTGATCTTCCTCCATTTTTTACCACTGCAGTCTGCAAGAAAATTGGTACAAGCATTCAAATCTCTCTCACCATTTGCTTGTTGCTTATCTGTCAGCAACTTTCAGACCTGTGTTGGGATGTGTAAATGGATACATCCCTACCACTAGTTGCCCCCCCCCTGGGGACACAAACCTTGCTTGAGTCACTGATTTTGTGACCTAAACAGTGATTGCATGTCAATCAGCCCCCTACTTCAGAGGTAGTTACAATAATTGTGATATATTACACAATGACATACATTACTGGTGCCATATGTAACTACACACAGGGTGTTCAGTTATATACAGGTGGCAAAACCTCACTGAGTAAAGGGTGTAAGATTGAACATGGTCTGGCGACGTCGCGCAATTGAAGATAAATGGCGGACACTGCAAACAATCAGGAAGGGGGATGTGCGGCCGCCTACAAGATGTCTGAGATTAATGCTGATGCCGTGAGACAATTTTCGCGCGCGCTAATAATATCGAGGAAGAAAGGACCATTGCAAGCAAGGTGATATCACACCAGAAGGACAAAAAATTCCGCTCGACGGAATTACCAATATTCGGTGCAACTGATATATCATGTGACCGGCGATATACCCGATATAGCCTATCCGTGGTCACATGGTATATCAGTTACGCTGAATTGTTACGATTCCGTTGAGCGGAATTTTTTCTCTTTCCGGTGTGTATGATACTTCGCTTGCAATACTTATGTGATAAGGAACTGAGCACCGAGTACATAGCATCTCCCAGCGTTAGATAGTACTACTTATTGTTGCGCAGTCTGGTCCATAGATAGGATCATCTACATTGAAGATGGATGCATAATCCCCGTCAGGCTGAGCCTTGTCTGGGTGAAGATGGACAACAGCAACAACAGCAGTGGGAACGCCTATGGATTGATAGCGCTAATGTTATCATATGATGATTTCTATATCGTATAGGAGCGAAAAGGTGAATTAGAGGATCGACAATAACTATCATTACAGGTAAAGCCCTTCCGCAGTATCTTCGTTGTTCCTGTGTAGTACCTGGAGAGAGCCATTGAAATATGATAACGAGTCATTCAATAGCAAAACGAACCTCTTCTCTCGCGGAACTGAAGTCGGCTATAATGACTCTTATTCGTCTTTCTTTCAACGCAAGCAGTCCAGTTTCTGTATGTACCGCTTTCTTATGACCAGCGGAGAAGCCATCCCTGATTACGCAGAAGTCCTCAAGATCCACGTCCTCAGCGAGACTCACATGCGAAGTATAAAGTCTGAAAACTATAGTTAATAAATATGATATTTTCAACTTTGAGAAAACGCGTACTTGAAGATGTGTCTGTTTTGACGTCAGGCAGAGGAAACTCGATCTTATGGTCAATATATTCAGGGTGAGTAAGAACAGGATCTAGCATTTCAGACCGATTTGTAGCTATGATGATCTTCACATGTTTACGCGTATCGAATCCATCTAGCAGATATAGACCCTCCAATACGGTGCGTTAGATTTGATGTTCTTTATCGGATGTAGAGTCGTAACTGAATAAAATATGATTCCTCAACACGAGTAGCAGCGTCGAGATGAATGCTCACCGTGTTGTTCCTGCCGCGTCAGTTTCATCTATGAAGCTGATACTTGGTACATGTTCCTCCACCACACGGAACAACTTGCGTACAAGTTTAGGACCATCTCCAACGTACTTTTGGATGAGCTCAGATCCGACGGTAAGCAGGAAGGTAGCAAATATTTGATTAGTGACGGCTTTTGCGAAAACAGTTTTACCATTACCGGGAACTCTGTAGAGAATAACACCTGTCCAAAGTTCAATTACTATTTCCTCATACAACTCGGCGTTGGAGGTAGCTCTACGGAATCCTATTGTTGATATCGAAAATTGTTCATTATGAAGGTGTAGTTGTAGTGAAATCGTCGTTGAAGTGGGAGCGGCTAGGGTGGAACGATTGGCATGTATCTATCGCAAATGTTTTTTTTTGTTAAGTCCACGAATGAATAGCGATATCAGCAGGAGGTATCAACCGACAGGTCAACGAATATAATTTTGTCTCACTACGTCCAGTATTCGTTAGAAATCTGACTTGGTTGCTCGGAAAAAAGTTGACTCCATCCGCGCACGGATTCTGGAAATTTAATAGAAGGAGATAGGCCGTTATGTCAGAACCGCCGATGTTCGTGATGTCGTGAAGTGGATTCGTCCAATATCTGAATGGTCACTGAGCCTCGCAATGAGTGAAAGAGTGCGCGCGTAATGATGACAATGTAAATGGAGACATACATTTGTCGGATGTCGACAGTAGAAGACAACGATGGTTTCCCTTGTATTCATCGAATGAAGTCCATGGAATTCATTGATGTTAGTTCGAGGTATTCGATCGAATATTCAGATGAAATAGAGCAAGGTTGAATGATGCGGATAATGAGTGCGGCTGGATTATACACTCGATTTTAACGCAGAAGGGCAGCTAATGTAACAACGACATTTCATAACCGTGGGAGTCACGTTCCTCCTTCCTTTTGAACACCGCTCTACCATGGTTATAGCTCGATTCAAGGTATCTATTCAGCAGTCGAGGACGACATCATATCAGCGAAACAAACCGTCGAAATAATTTGCAATATTTGTACACTTATCTAGTAAATTCTCTTGTAAAGATATACGATGAGTCAATTCTTTCATTGAATACGCGTCTTGTTTTCTGAATGCTACTCATAGAATCCACTGATAATGGTGAGCGTGATATATCGACATGTAGCAGTAGTAACGACTTACTGTTGTTGCTATTGTCTTGTCATATGAATTATATCGGGTGAAAACGAGAACGATTCGTTGTCGCCCGTACATCTCTTCAAATTCTTCCAACATACATGTCATTTGTGTGGGTTCTATTTATTGTTGAATAGGACCACGCCAGTCGGTATTTGTTTTAATCCAATCTTTTTAGAGTGGATTGATCAGAGGTCGAGACTAGTGCGAAATGGAAAATTCTTACATCGTTGCACGACATTCATCGGCAAAGGCTTAGAATCAGCGAAACTGTTCTTTATCATTGACCGAATTGCCAACTGTACGTTCTCCCGCTGAACGACTTTTTTTTTTATTTCGTATTTGACTGGTGGAACCTTTGTCAATTAACAGCCCATGAACACTGTCCTCTAAATGGCTGATACAATGAACTTTAATGATCATGATTGCTAGGCATCTTTGAACATACACCAAGGGAGACCATTGAGACTATTGTGGTTAAGAGAACGTCATCGAGAGTTATGAGTTGTACCGGTACGCATCTTTCTCTCTCAGGCAGTTGATTTGATGAACGATCATTCTTGTTCCATATCGTTTGCGAAGCACCCAGTCATCAGCCTACAATTGGGTGAATATGTCTCACTGAGCCTTGTTATAGACCAAAATCTGATACAAATCCTACCTTTCGTATCAGCTTAGAATACAGCAAACATCATTCGTTATGCAATAGTTGCTCAAAATTTTGTTTAGGGAAACTACAGTTGATGGCCAATTTACTGGTTACAGTGAGTACTCTTGGTTTCGTTCCGTTTTTTTTCGCTTCGATTGTAACCCATACGATATGTTCATCTAACAAATGTTAAGTTTCATGAAGCATATGTGAACTATTCTTTCGACAAACTTACCTGACGAATAACCTCAACAAATATGATTCGAAGTATCTCTGTCTTCAAAGTAAAAATGTTTGTGCGCACACGTACAATAAATCCGACATAACAATTTTTGAAGACCATATTGAACAGTGAGAACGGTGGTGTTCCTATATTTTTCTTTATTAGATGTAGAGATAATGCTAACAGAATGTGATCGTGCAGTAGGAAGTGATCAGAGCTTACGATCAAGCTTTCTCGAGAATCGAACAATGGATTGTCCAGTACATCAAAGAAAACGGATGTATTTGTGTTCTAATGTCGACACTTTGACTTTTCAGAAGGGTACGATGACTTATGTGGTGCGAACCTAGCATAACAATGCAGAACTTTTCAGATGAACGCCTCACAATAATTTTGGCGGCGAACTTGATTCATGAAGGGATACAAAGCGACGCACGAAATCAGATTGACTTAAAATATTTGAAATCAACAGGGTATCCTCAGTTGATCGCGTACAGAATTGGTGCTTGCTCCCATCTTTGACGCTCTCACAAATGGAAGAAAACGAAGATATGGTAGTGTTGCATACTACGAGGATAAAAATATGGAAAGTGAGTGCGAATTGTTTTACGACAAATCAGTCTCTGCTTACTTGTACATTTGAACTGTGTTTCCCATCCCAGAATGCGACTTCAACGAACGTATCTATCTGGTATGAAGTCAACGCTAGTTCCCTGAGGTTCTTCAATTATACGTGATTCGAATTGGGAGGGAGTCTTTACAAGTAGCAGTTGAGTACTGTTTTATCCATAGGTTGAGATATGTTGGATTCCACCAAGACTGTAGATCCACTATTGAACGATGTCAGTTTAGCAGATTTGACGGTAGTGCTATGGAGGTATTGCGAAGACGATGATCGAGTCAGTGCGATCTACTATAATAACTTATCTGGATTTTTTATTATGAAAGCCGTTTGATCTTTCACTCTTCTTTCAACGACCATCATCACCGTTTGGTGAAAACCTGAAATACCAGAAGTTTCTTTCCAGAGTATGTCATTCAGATTTTGTTTCTTTCTCATTGTCTTAGTCCCATTTTGTTCCTGTAGTACAGACTTGCCCAACGATAACAAATTGAAAGGGATTATGCGTAGTCGGTACACATTCAGCGAGTCCCAATCAGAGATACTACAATCGGCATTCAGTCAGGTAAGATGTCACTGGAAATCGAGTGATTGCAAGCCGTGCATTTTATCTAGGCGAATTATGTGACGAACAAAGTACTCGGTCAGTTGGTGGATGAAACAGGTTTAACGCCGTCGAGGATAAAGGTGAGCATAATGGAAGGAGTATTACGCATGCGAATGTAACGGGACGTTTCCAGGCATGGTACGAAGTAAGTTTATCTTTGCCACTGTGTTAAGGACGATACTTAATTTTTCTTTTAGTATCGAAGACGACTGCAAAAACGTAGGAAACTCGAGGTACAGTCTATACTAGGCACAACCGACCTGTATGTTTCACTTCACATCGTTAGGAATAGAAACGTTGTTCTGAACGGCTCTTCAGAGATGCTCCCAATCGAAACGAACCGCAGACAACGACCGCTTCGAGCGTAAATATGAATAAATCTTCCGACGTTGTTTTCGGATTTGTTCCGAACGAGGAGCAGATACAGATTGCACCTTCTGTCGACGCAGTGGAGTCGTCTGATATTAATGTTGAATGCACTTTATGTGCAGTCGCATCGCATGAAAATCTGTCTTTGAACCAACCCACGTTACCGTCCATTTCATCGATGTTTCCGGAAATTTTCAATGACCAGTACGATTACAGTCTCCCTCCCAACGTTCATCCGATCGTTCTACCTACGTATCGTTAACAAATGATAGCGGTGTCAGTGTAGGTCGATGCATAGTTGGTAGACAGAAAATAATCCATCCCTCCGGAAAGTATAAGATGTCATGACCTGCTGCATCGTGTCTGACCTCGAACTTGTAGATGGTCAAGTGTGCAAGTTACTCATTCATAGTGAACCATTGGAACTCAATAGTAATAACCACCCGAGTTAGTCAGTCATTGTAGATTGCCTATCTTGTCGAATAGACAATAAAATGATCTACTTCGATTTCCTTTTCCTTTTTTTTTTGAGCGTATCTGTTGCATCATAAATCCAGTACATTCATACGATCTATCATGATTTCCTATTAAGCTCTTCAAGACCCCAAATACAATATTTAACCTCAGCCGGGGTCCTTTTGGATGTGTACTTATACTCCATCATTTCTGACCGTTTTCCGCATTGCTTTTCCCCCGTCGTTTTTCTTACCTTTTTCATACGCTATGGTTTCTGTGCAATCATTAAATGACACGTATGTGGTCTTCGAACCTAACAGTTACTACCATAACTATCCTTTTTCAGTAGTATGGGGGCTGCTTTCATAGGGCTGTCGATTTCAGTCTTCCTATTAGGATGTTTGTAACGATCCTTCTATCTGACGGACGCTTGGTCTAATCACAAGCAATTAGTATGTTCGGCTCAAGCGTTTATGTATTTCACGCAACAAAAAGACCCTTGTCTAGTTCGTTGCATGGTAAGCATAAGAAATCCTCGACGTTCCTCATCGAGTCATATAAGTGACAGGTTGCAGCGTTAATGCTTTTGAATTTCATCCATGAAGTACTCATCATGCAGAGTGGTGAGGATTGATTGTTTATGGATCGATCAGCTTTCAATTGACAAACTGGATTCAAGTGTACTACTACCTCGCCCCTCATCTCAACGCTACGATGGCTCCGAATTCTGTCGTATGGTAAGCCTGATTTTATATGCCAGTATTTTCGATACAAACCGATTAACGTACAGGAGTTTGACGGTAGAGAATTTGAACTTCATATTATTGTCTACTGATGATACAATCTACTTCTAGGTAGAAGGAATTTGCAATGTATGTTACTTTCTTCATTACTGATGAAATGGACCGTTAACGCGTTATCGGGGATCATAGGGTCTGATTGCATTATGCGTGCAAAGGTAACATGCAGTGTGGATTGAACAATTCTCTATTTGTAACTGACGCGTTTCAGTTTTTGGATTTGGCGAATATGTCGACGTAAGAAAATCCACATTTGTTGACATTTCGAACTGAACTAGATCAATCGTCGAAGTCGCTACCTATAAGCTATGGATCACAATGCTGTTGGTAAGAGTCAACGCCATAACTTCGCCATATCGATTCAATTTGATGCTTCGTATAGGAATTCGTTGCTGTTGCACAAGCAGGCACGTCATATTCAAATTTTCACTGCATACTCCCTATGGATTGACCACCATGTTCACGTCTTCCGTAGGTTGTGTTATAGGCAAGTACAAACGAAGATCTTCATTACCGGTACTGACATGGATCAATGTAGCTTTCATTTCAATCGCGTAAGTACAGTATACTCGCTGTTTACTGTTATCATTGAACGCATGCGTAGGTTGGCCACGGTTGAAACTTTTTCGCAAATGGAACCCGAACTACGAGTTCGTTGACGCGCTTTGTGTACTATGTTCAATTGATCTCAATCATTCCAATAGAGTCTTTCTATCGTCGTCAATGTTATCGCTACTGTTGATGATATTGTTATCGCTACTGTACTATCTTTTCTGTTTCAATCATCCAAGAATGGATTTCGCAGGTGAGCTGATTGATGTGGATTTGCGGACAGCGTTAGGTTAACTTCAAGGCGTAGTACTTCTACTATTTTAAACAAATTGGTGATATTTTAGATTTGTGCCCTTCATACGTTCTATGTACTTACTTGTTACAGACGCTACATGCGGTGAACACTGGAGCTATTACCAGGTGAGTACCCTAATTAAGATCTTGCTGCAATTAATTACTCAATAAATGAATAGTATTTGTGCGATATCGACGTTGGTCTCTGTACGACATGATTATTTGAATTATTTTCTACTATATCTCATCATCGTTGTTTTGTAGATGTTGGCAGCTCCGAACACACTCATATACGTTGCGTTCTATTTCTGCATTGGTCGGCGTATGTACGAATTCAGATTTGTGGTCATAAGATCCAATTGTTTTCTAGTGTACACGGCGTCATTACTAGCAACTCTGAACGCACGGAATGGCGTATCGAACGTGGTTAACGATGTAGAAACTACATCTGGTCGCAGGTCTCCTCTTGCATTCAGAAGCTTTGTGAATGGAAGTGAGATTGACAGGGATATATTCAATGTCAGTACAACCTTGTTTTATTCCTGCTGCATCCGTTGCTAATGGTGACCAGAAACAGAACGATTCTGCGATCAAGGGGATGGACAGTGTTCAGCTCGAAACGGAAAATAACTATACGGATCGACAGGTAATATATGAGTTAGATGACATGTCTTTGGATAATATCAGTCACAAGGTACGTAGTGGTAATCAAGGTTCTATCGCCTTGCTCTTGGCTCTGAAATGGTGGCCTGCGGCGGTTAAATCAACACAGACGCTCTCCCTCTTTCAATGTTCTACCTCAAGTCTGTTGATATGTGGGGTTTCTTACAATTTTCTACAGAACATACAAACATCTTACCAGTTGCCTACGGTTCCGCAAGAGGTCCACTTCTATGCAATTTAACTGCTACAATTTGATTATTGCGTATGGAATTGTGTCTGCTGTCATTTTGTGTATTTCTTGTTGTGTATAATATCTTGGATGTTGGAGCCAAATGTTGGCGTTTTTTGTGTTATCACGTATATTCGAAATATATACTTAGTGACTTTCTGTCCGACAATCACTTACAAAGACGGGCGTTGTGAAAGAGTAAACGTGAGCTTGTATGGATACGGGTCTATCATTGCACTGCGGAATTCGAGCGCTTTTGTATGCTTTTGTCAAATATTAAACATATGGAGCTCTGAGAGGAGCTTCGAGAGATGTCTTTCCTTCTTTGCTCAATGATTCAAAATACGGTGTGTTGAACGCGAGGAACTTGGATGACATAACAAACCATGGTAGTTCTCGGCCCGGGCCAATAACTTGTGGCTGAGAACTCAGAAATTTTTGTTTTGTTCATTTCTGTCTTTCAAAGTCGACATTTGTATATCATCGTTGGTGCGATAGGAGCGTCGTACTACCGTGTACATGATCTATCGTATCTTGTTTCTTTCCATCTTGATATGTTATTCCTCTTAATCGTAGTACGAAACGTCAATCGGGACACGGGCAAGTCCTATACAGGCCTCATTCGATCAATTGTACTGACTTTAGATGTTTCATACGCCATGCTGGAGCCGGGAGAAATTCCTAAAATGCATGATGTTACACGGTATCCATTCTTCTTGCTGTTGTCCAATTAATTCTGAGGCATATTCTCCATTTTACTGGGTCAAGAACATGTCGCAGGCAACTGGAAAACACCAAAAGTAATGTATTATGATAGGGAATGAAAGATAATGGCAGTTAGAGCAGAAGCCGATACTCCCCCAATGCTATCATTGGCCGAAGACGAAGCGCATAAAGGTCCAATCGTGTGTTGTTGTTTTTTTGTCGTTGGAGGATCGTACTCACTCGCAGTTCGTAATTCAGGTTCAGGTTACGGTTCAGGCCTCGTTCAATGACATTGAACATGAACGGTATGACATTGGGGTCTCTGCCTTATCGCAAATTTACTATGGAAGTTTTTGGCGACTTTCTTTCCTTTGTCTTTTTTTTTGCACTCGTAACTTCATTCGAGACACTCGCGCGAACGGTTTATCTTTATGGAACATCGTCGAACATGATATCCAATTCGTTTGATCACATCCTAATGGTTGGGAAAGTGCTCGGCACACCAAGGTGCGCCAAGCTGTCGCATACGGTGGCCTAATTCTCGACACTAACGACGGAAGAGCTCAGATACGACTTGTAACAGAAGGAGAAACTAGTTTGCGTGTATGTGTTTTGAACGGGTTGGCAGATGATGTGCTTTCTGTCAGTTCAGCCATTCTTCTCCGACGCGTTGAACTGATTGCGTTTAGGATTCTCCAAAGTCAGAATATCTTGTACCTGACGCCGGAGGCGGTACTTTGGATATAAGCCCATGCAGTATTCGTGTTCAACCACCTCTAGTAATTGAAGAACTGGCACCTCCAGATTGTGGGTGTTGAATATGTACATCCTTATAATCTAGTTAAAAACAATGTGCAGGGTTCTTCGCAGGATCATTGTTCGTGAGCAGAAGTAAACCATAATTTTTTCCAGGTGCAACTATCGATCATATAATCTTATGTGGCTGATTTGGTTCTGGATTTAGAGAAGCTTAAAAACTGCAAATACCGAACTCCTGATGCTGTAGATCATGTTACCAAGTGCTTCGACGAAACGATTGAGCGTTTATTCCGTGATGAAAAAGATGCGCAGTACATTCTTTTTGGGTCATCTCTGGACAGATATCTTTCGGTCGGGATAAAGAGTGGAGAATTAAGGTTGACCGGGTACGAAGAGCAGCTACATTTTATAAAACACAATCTTATCGAGATCGAGTTAGCGCAAAAACGGCGGATCTATTCGAACCATTACTTAAAGGTAAGGAACACCTGTCCTCATGCAAAACTGCAGCTGCAGCGCATCCCATCAACGTCCGAGATGAGGCTTCTTCAGGCATGATAAAGTTTTGCTTTATACTACCCACGTATAGTTCATAAAGACGAGTGTACACATCTAGTCGATTTTCCTCGTCGATGGGTACGCTAATAGCGCATGGTTATTCAGCTAGCTACAAAAGAGACTCCAACCGTAACGTGTTGCTGTGCGTTGACCAGACACCCAAACGTAAGTCTTGAAAACGCCCGCTTGCACACTAATTAATTTTCCACCGTGCTAGCTCATAAGCAGTCGTCAATGGTGCGATAGGCTTCTAATACGATCACCATGTTTCTGCTCGAATGTTCAAGTTTATGTACGGGGTAGGATAACTTCGTCAGTACGACTCAGCAGATCCCGAGAACGTCGAACGAAAAGACAGACTATGCGAGCTTCCATCAGGATCTCGAATTTTACCTGATGCATTTGATTGTATATTGGCACGAGTGAGTGAACTGGTTTGAAGTCGTATACAGTTCACGAACATTGCTTTAGGATGCAAAAGTCGAGGAATTTACTGTGTTCACACGGAAGTACTACTCAGAGTTGACAAGTTCGTCATTGCTCTTCGTATTTGAGGTTGAAATTTGGTGTCAAAGCGCTGGAAATATCTGGATTACGAGGCAAACAGGTAATACATGTCTTTTCGGACTTTCTCGCCAACTTTCACTCAAATTCTCATCACAGACGATTTATCCATCCTCTGTCTAGTCCGCGCACATCTGTCTTCGTTGAGTAGCGGCGCCGAGGCGAAGATAGGCAAACACGGAAGGGTATACTGGAACATCGTGTTCTCGGTTGAGATTCATTTTGGGTTGACAAAGTTCAGAGCACGCATCAAATGGATTTACAATGTATGTCGATTCCTCTGATTTCCCTCTCTTCTGTTCTTAAAGCACACATAGGGCGTAACAAAATAGTGAGTTGCTAGCTTCATTCTTTGTAGACTTGAGCGCTGGAATTGGCATCTAGCGGTTCGGTGCCGATAATTCACAACGAGCGGGGACATAGATTGGATGAGGACGAACCAAATGATTACCCAGAAGACGACATGACTCCCACAGGTCCCAAACGAATAGAAGCGTCCCAGATTCCCATACTCAATCAGTCGACTCGAGGTCCTTTCATACACCTGCGGCTGCCATGTCCACTGTCGTTAGCATACGATCATCAATGTTTGGTCCCGCCAGGAACGAGCTTCTACCGGCACCAATAGTCACTCCAGAGGTTGATGCTGTCACTCCAAGTTTACGTACCTCCAGCGTGCGGTGTTCTCGCCCTTTTCTCTCTCACATACTTTCACAGAGAACGGAAGTAGAATAGATTTTTCTAAATACCACTCGAGAGGAAGATCGACGTATAAATGGAAGGAAAGAACGATGCCATCCTTTTCTCGCACAGATCATAATATGGGGACGGCAAGCACTATCATTAGCAATCGCAACTCATCGTCGAGACTTGCGGACACTGTTTCATTTGTTTGGGGTATCTCCAGCTGCCGGATCAGTGGCAAAGTCACTCAAGTCGAAAGAGGTTACCCCTTTGTGGTCTCCGATCAAAAGAAAGTTAACGGAATTCTCACACTCACCACCGGCTCCGTTATCAGAGCCTGTTCCGTCTGCTCCTGCCGAAGAGACACCGATGTCTGCCGTGGACATGCGAGACACGTTCGAAACTGGCGTTCCAGCTACAGAAGCCGTGCTTGCGCATGCAGAACCTTCTCCTGCATTAGCTGAATATCTTGATGAAGCAGCAGCGCGGGATTCATTCCCCAACGCATGGGAGACTGCTGCTGCCAACATGGGCCCATGAAGCTAACGATGTCGACAGCTCATCTCCAAGGAAGCTCCCCCTGCAGTCTCCCGTTAATTTATCCGAAATCAATATGGACCTAGCTACACAACCTGTAGTAGACGCAGGTTCGACGAATGACATGCTCTCATTATCGAATAAAGCTTTTCTTGTCTCAGACGAATCATTTGATTCGTTCTCGATATCGCCAGTGTCTGTCCGTCAAACACCACCACCAAACTTGCAGTCTTGCTGGGAACAGTTTCATCTGAAGTCAATTCACGAATAAATGGTGTCACCAGTTTCCATATCATCTAACAGCCATTGGTCAACAAACACGTCGCCGAGACTAGCTTCTTCTCAATCCCCCGAATCTGACGACACCTGATTCCGAGATACCCGCGACACCCTCAAAATCACCATAGCACACGACGAAGCTTGCTGGAACATTTTAAGCTTTATCACTCACGAACTCTTAGTTGCATTCTCAAATAAACGAACATTATAGTGTGGATTATCAAGTCAATCTCCATCTGCGGCAAGATGTGTCTCCTCGGCTGAGCCCTGCGATCAAAGAATACATTCAAAACACATTGGAAACGGCAAGTCCAATTCTAGCGTGGAGCCTTCTATTATAAAGACATTCCCTGACGGTAAGTCATCGCTGTCAGCTATGCTTCTACCAACACGCATATTTGCTGCATAGTTCGATCTCTCCATACCAAAGTACTTTGACTCGTAGCGTATGGTACCTATATCAATTAGTAGGCAGTAATAAAAGAAGTTCGCGTTCTTATCGGAAAGTCGTCGGGGTTTGAAGCTTACTTGATCTACAGATCATTTATTTCCCACGTCATCATAAGTTACCGAATGACACCGCCATTCAGGTTTCGAAAGAGCGTCAAATCAAATACATGGCGCGCGCTCCTCTTTGCTGTAAGCGCTAAATGAAATGTGCAAGAACCAGAGCAATGAATCGTCGCGAGAGAACTCTGCTCAACGTATACTGCAAAAGTTTTTACTACTATACAACAGGAAAGGATCGACATGAGAATAGTTAGCCGTTTTCGCCAGGTTATACCGTCGACTACTAGTACAATTCGATTTCTTTGAAGTACAAAAAAGCAGATAAGTGACCACTATATTTCTTTCAATACCAAGTACGAACACGATCGACACTTGGCGGCAGACATTCAAGATCGTATTCAACATGTTCGACTTCCTTTACAGTATAAGCGACCAGTGGTTCGCAATCAGCATGAACTGACCCAACCACTTGTGGTGCCATAGCATGAATCGGTACGCGATCGACCACGGAATTCGGACGATAGAGTGGATCTTGCAATATACATTGCGTGCATTGACCTATGTTCACCATCATCAATTTGAGGTGTAAAACACGATTACAAACACTTGCTGATATTTGAAAGTAGTCCTCGGTGATGTTCAATATCGCGATGATCATGGTCGCTGCAACAACTTGTAGATCTCATAGACAACGTCGATGTCGTAGAACTAGTGCTCGTGTCTATGAAATCCCGTAGTTCGTTCACAGAGTGCAACAGAACATTTCAGTATGTTTGAAATATCCTTTCTACTGAATCGAAATTGAATACGTACTAGAATTCTGAGCACATTTCGCTTTGCCTTCACTAACATGATCGTCATGTCGAATCTGCAAAACGCTTGGTTCTGATATCGATGACACTGCGGTGAAAATATTAGTGCTTTCTATAACACGGTCGTATTCGTCCACGAGTTCTTGCAGTGTGTACTGATGAGGTAGTTCTTCTAACGGTCATTTATCAATATACATCGAATACCATAGTCCGAATACTCACCATTGCCATTGATCATATTTGAACTATCGCTGTATCCCCATGTATCGTCCACGTTCGGGTAAAAGATTGGATCCACTTGCGGTACTAAATTCTCATCATACGATAGGTCTTCTAGCATTGTACTCAACTCATCCAAATACTTTTCAAACGTGTACTGATTGACTGCATCTGTCAATACAAATGAACAAATTACCTGTACCAAAGCGACAACGCTGCTCACCCAATCTGGACCGAACATCACTTGCGTATTCACCTTCGGATGGGATACTATCCCGGTGTAGTGCATGCGGATTTCCGTTCGAAAACTCGTAGTCGTTTCGAGCACTTTCCCCGGGGTGTGCATTTGAAACGGATCTGTAGTTCGCGGTAGATAACACTTCCGTTCTCTGTGTATCCCTGCTGTCGTTTTCCGGGCGATATTCTTCGTAACCTGAATATGGAACAGTAAGAATTCGGAATCCAAACAAGTTAAATTATGTCGCCTCTGACAACAGATGGAAGTGACGAACTTTGATGAATATCGTACTTTACTGGCATTAATTCCACACTGGGTACATCCACAAAACCAGACTCGTTATTCAAATCACGCACTACATTCTCGTTTGACTTTCGACGAGCATCGGATGTAAAATCCAACTAACGAAGAGCAATCGTTGATATAATTCCACAACAAATGTCGCTACTTACCTGGTTGAAGAAATACTTTTTGATCAACATCGTATCGGCTACATGCTTTTTTTTTGACTTGACTTTGGAGAATTGCTTACTGACTATAGAAACATACCTGCGTAGTCACCTTCGCGTCCATATTGGTTGAACGTCTCATATTGATGCACTTGTGTATCTTATACCAAGCAAAGAGCCAGTCATACTGTTCGTTCTCCAGCAGCATATTGTCCATGACATAAAATCTCTTTACGAGGTTGACACGACTGCATTTGCCATACGTGCCGCATTGTACACAGTTGAGAGCATTTTTTCGAATATCGCATGATTGTGCTAAAGTCGCGCATCGTTCGCATTTCTGTGGTTCAAGATCAACGATACGGAGAAATACTCGAAAAAAGAAGAATAATCACGATATAACCATATTTGTCGTTAATGAATTGTTTATCCTCCTTTGATAGTCTCGCGCGAAAGACAGTAACGAAGATTGTCTTCAATTCGTCTGTAGCCCAACTAGGATTATCCAATTCTGATAACTGTATTAATTAGCACGACAATTATTTGCGAAGAAGGTACACGATAGCACATACACTTTTTCTCCGATATGGTGTTATCTTCGCCGACGATTGATGTTGTTGAGTTGAGGACAAAACATGATCTCCAACATGGACAAACTCCGAGTCGTACTGTTCATCCATAGTTCATGAGAGTTCTGAGAAAGGGGACGCGCTCGGTGAAATATGTACCAGGTGCATTTCTGATGCTAAATTTTAGGGTTACGAGTCCAGAGCTTATACGGTCATCCATCATGGACCTACATCAGTAAAAAAGAACAGACAAAACAACAGATTTAAACTCATCCAATGGCAGAGATCCAATTGATTTCATTCCCGTATTATCGTCTATATAGCTTTGAACTCCACCGCTGCATATCCTGTCTTATTTCCGAGGCAGTATGACAGTCGAACATATCGGAAAGCGTTTGAAGTTCCTGTTCGTAGTTCTTGTCAACGATTGTTCGGTAGACGCAGTCAGGAGCAATTCCGACCAAATTGACACGTGTGTGTAGTGTAGCACAGCCTCTTCCGAAAAAGCTGTTGGAATATACCGACTCGGTCTGGACCCGGTTCAAACTGCAATGTTCAGCTCAGTCGAAAAACGAAATAAAGAAACTCTTTCCAACGCAAATTTTCCCAAGTCTTCTCTCGAGATTGCAAATTCTCTTTTTCAAACGGCTACTAGCGACTCCCGGCCTTTCGCATGTTCGATTCGAGGAAAGTTTCGAGAAAAGTCAAACCGCCCTGCGAACCGCGTCGTTGGCTGCGTTGAAGCTGTCGACTATGCGGCCGGTGTTTGGATGCAGATAAGGGGAAAATGTAGGAACAAGCATCGACTAAACGTTTATCCTGCATAAGAACATGCCCTTTCCCCAAACTTACATGGAAAGGTTAGTGGTATGTTTGAGGCTTCTTCCGAGACTGCCACATACCAAGTCGTTTTGGCTGTAGGTGGAATGTTACAAAGAACGAGGATTGTGCGGTTACACCGGTACACAGTGAAGATTTTGGATCAAACTCGGTGTTGTACGATTGTCGATGTCGACCCGGACTTTGGTTTTACTCATCGTTCTATACAGGCAGCGCATTCAAGACATCCGCATTTCGCAATACTAATTCTACTGGATACGCTACGCTCAGGCTATAATTCGAACGCTATCAACCTTTGTTGGACCTCATTAGTCGAATATATCACATCGCCAACTTCAACTCGAACTTCATCTGAAGGAGATCCTTGGTGTCAATAGAACGAAGAGTACTACCCGTTATTGCATTTCACCTCGACAAGCATGTTGCATACAACTCGATCGGCATAGATAAGCAATGCATGCGCTTCTGCTGATCCTCACGAATTCTATTCCAGCATCACCTCCAGAACTATGTGTAAAATACCCCTCGGGCATCCCGTTATTGGTGTCCTTGCACTCCAAGATGCTTCTTACGACTAGGTTGGTTGCTTTACTGCCAGTGTGGCTCTCTGAGGTTCATGCAAAAGTACCTCAGGTCGCTCATCCAGGTTCTAAATAAGCGAAATACATCGCTTATAACAGTCCCCCAACGACTACCCCTCAAGGATTTGGCAGTTGTACCGGAGCTGGATAGTCTGCATCTGCTTCCGAAGTCTCTACCTTTCGCGAGCATCTGACAAGAGCTAAACAACGATGAAGCGACGGATGTCATCGCTTTTTTGTATAACCATACGGATCTCAATTCGACCGCAACAGCAGATGCTGAAAGGTAAATTCTTATCGTTGTTTTCTACCTCTGGAGTCGATTCTGATCGCATTCATATTCAGTTGGGATAGTAGCATCATGCGGGTAGAAATTTTGACACCAAACAAGACGAACGTCCTGCCGTACGTTGATAATAACCATCCTGAACCTCGACAATGGGATCGGGCGCTATAAGGGTTGGCGCGACGATAGAACCATATATCATTGAGTATCAAGTCAGTGATATCTTCGTCTCTGTTTCGTCTCCGTACATATATCTGACGAGTCAAGGGATCTTAGACTGACCCATTTCCCAGTTCTAGTGAGTCGGTCTTGACGTCTCTCGACTAGTTCACGACAAACGGGATAACTTACCAGCGAAACTATCATGCAGTTGAAGATCTTACATCCGAATTCACGGTAAGCCGATCTTCTACTGCACACTCAACCGGTCACTTAAGCAGCTCTTCGATACGTGATTGTAATTTAATTTTCTAGCCTGATACTGGCCTGGTAGGCGACTTGTATATTTCCATCCATCTCCAGTTCGAGTAACATTCGAGAAGAACCGCAATCAAAAAGGTTAACAAGTAAGTTGACTATATCATCTATGGTAATTTCCTTCCAACTGCAACAAACCTCAGAAAGCAACTTCACGATAAGAAGGAGTAATATTTATCAGGCAGAAAGAACTGGGACTAAATGAAAAAACGCGTTTGCTTCGATAAGCCGTTATGAAAAGTGTGCGGACACCAGAACGACCGTATGGCATAGGCGGAGGATCCAGCTCGCCGACTGCTCGGTCACGTTCATCCAGCATCGTGAATGCTGAAGGAGCCAAGACACCAACTTACTCCATTCCCGCTGTACTGTCTGTGCCACCAGCTGCCAAATCCACAAGACTTCCATCTGGGACAACTGGTGCTTCCTCTTCAAAACTAGCGTTCACTGCCACACTTAACGCTCCAGTTCGTATCGAGTCACTGGTCTATGAGGGAATCATACGATATGTAACAGAAATCCCGCCGAAGCAAGGTATCTGGGCTGGAATGGAACTTAGTGCTGGAATCGCTGGCAAAGGGAAGAACGATGGATGCACGCCAGACGGAAAGAGATATTACAATTGTGCACCAATGTATGGATTATTTATAAGTATTTCCAACCTGTTTCGAGCGACAGCTGGAGTTTCCAGGTCTCCATCTGTTGCATCGACTGCTGAGAGTGAAAGTATGTCTGATTTGCTTATCGCTTCGTCTAGTAGGAGTGGCTTTCGTATTAGCACAGGAAGAATTACGCCTTCTACACGAACAGGAAGAATCGGTTTAGCTACGACGACTTCCTCTAACGCGTCCACATCCACATCCTCGTCCTCTTACTTCCGCAACTCCGCCTCATACTTTGGTCGAGTGACACCCTCTAACTCTATATCGACTAGTACCACTGGCGTTGGTCCAGAAACGCCAGCAGCGCGTGCTGGGAGATTACGAGCACTGAATGCCGGTTTGACGCCTTTAGTTAAAACTCGGTCCCGAGGGACAAATGTAGAGAAGGCCGTTCGTGTTCCTGCTGTACCTTCAATTCCCCGCGCGTCTTCGGCTGCTGGGACTCATATCCCCTCTTCAGTGCCGTCTCCAACTATACCGAACACTTCTCCTCGAAGACTACCTTCATTGAAACAGACATATTACCTTTCTTCTGTGTTCGACACTCCTAAGGCCCGCAATCTTGCTATTGTGTCGGGTATTGGACTTGGTTCATCGCACGGGGCAAAACCTCGTGCGAGACTAGTGCAGGAGGAATAGCCGAATTGCGAATACAGATGAGAGAATTTGAGAGCGACCTGCAGAATGCGAATGCATTAGTTGCCTCCAATACCTCAGCTGCATCCGATGATGTATCACGCCCGTCATCTGAACCTCAAAGGGAAGTTGAATCCTCTGCGATTTCCAGTACCGTTCAGTCTCCTCACTCAGCATCATCAAGTAATGACCTCGACCACAAAATTAGTCAAGAAATCAATCTCCTTACTCTTCGCCTTGGCGACGCTTCCACCAAAGCTCTTTCCGCACATGCTCATGCAGAACAACTTCAGTGAGCGCTAAACGCATTGCAAATTAATTCCGATGCTCATCTCGCTGATATTGAACAGATCAACAAAGAATTGCAGCAGGCACACGTTGCACTCTCGGTTCGGGAATCACAGCTCGCCGAGACTAAAGGGCTTTATACGAGCACCCGTTCAGATCTGAAAGAACGTACTGTGGACATCAGTGCCATCCAAAGGTTAGTATCGAATGTTGAGACAAAATACACCGATGAGATGGTGCGGGACCGTGATATATGGGACGTCGAGCGGAAAGAATTGCGGATTCAGGTAGATAAGCTGAATAGAGCTGGATAGAAGACGATTGTTCTTTATGAAGAGAAATTCGATGAGTTGTGGATAACCTTAAACGACAACGACCTCGTTGAACAGGCGCCGAAGTTCGACTTTAGCTGATGACCGGGTTCTCAGGCAAGACGATGCTGTTTCTGCATCTTCCAGTGACAAAGAAAACGTGTGCGGTGTAGTACGTACCAATCGCATTTTTGATGCTAAATTTTAGAGTTAGAGCTTATACGGTCATCCATCATGGACCCACATCAGACAAAACAACAAATGTAAACTCATCCAATGACAGAGATTTAATTGATTTCATTGCCGTATTATGGATTATATAGCTTTGAACTCCACTGATGCATATCGTACCTTATTTCCGAGGCAGTACGAGTGTCGAAAGTATCAGAAAGTATTTGAACTTTCTGTTCGTAGTACCTGTCAATGATCGTTCGGTAGACGCAGTCAGGAACAATACCGACCAAAATTGGCACGTGCGTATAACACATCATCGATCATCATCAAGCTTGTTTCTATTTTTTTTTTTTTCGGCAAAACCAGCTTTCCTGCAAACGGAATTACAGCTTTCTCTCTCATTATACGAAAGGCAGAATCCCGGACTCCAAAAGCGGTAACGTGATCCTCTTCATACTAACTACATAGCCTCTTTCGAAAAAGCTGTTGTGATATACCGACTCGGTTCAATACAGTATTACCATTCTTGACCAACTCAGAATGAAACAAAATCGGACTATAACCTATTCATTAACGGCCATCATACAATGCTCTCACAGGTAACGATATATTTTATATAAAATTCGTACTCAATTATTCACTTCAACAGGTCATTGACTTGATTACGCACATAGTCTCTACCAAAAATGACAACTAATGTTGACGACAAACGTCGAGAGTTCGATCGTATGCTAGGTGCGTTGTTTCTGTAACTACCAATTACTGCCTAAATTGTCGCAGATCGCGCAGTCTTCATTCTAGATAACAGTTGGCCAGTCAATATCATACCTGTTATCTATACAACGAATATATCCAGAATGTCGTCGCATAACTATCCTACAATACCAGACAAAACGACAAATGCCGCGTCGCTGAGACGCTTTGTCTGCCAACTTCTTAGACGCTCACGATCGTCGATCGCCGTATTCGCGACTGCACTATGTTATCTTGAAGCCGTTCAAACAGAGGTATTCAACACGTTGTGCTCGGATAACTGGTACGAAAACGAACCAAATGCGACGGATCGGATTATGGTAGCTACGAATACGTCTGATACTGAGTCGGAAACAATTTATGTGGGCATAGACATCACTTGCAACAACGTCCACATACTAACGATAACATTCTAATGCAGCTCGTCGAAGAAACGAATGCCAATCCGCGAAACCAACTCGTCCAGTCACCACTTCCACCACTATTACTGCTTCCTTCTCCCCTTCTGTGTCCTCGTCGTACCTTCTTGGCTACTGTCATCCTGGCCATGAAATTCCTATACGACAGTACACATTCCAACCGTGAATGGGCCCTTCTATGCCGGCTTACTCCTAGAGAAGTCAGTAAATGCGAACGCACTATTGGGAACGCGCTTCATTGGCGTCTCTGGGTTGGTAAAAGCCATGCATTATCTGATGTGACACCCACGTTATCCGTATGAACGTTAGTCTACCTAACAACACATCGTTTCTAAAAAGAGATTGTACATTGCGAAGAAGCCTGCTAAATAAAAAAACGCTGCTGGTATCGGACATCAATCGTTTTGTAAGGTGATAGGATCTGTGATAGTTCGTTCCATTTTTCTTGACCAATGTATTATTTACAGATCTATCTTTGCGGACTATTAACTAGGTAATTGCGTGTTTTTCTTCAAGTGACCCGATTTCTATTCTCCCTACAGAAACGTGTGCTTTTGCTTTCTAAACTAAGAGGTACGAACACCGTAACAGAAGAAATTAAGGTTGAACCTAAGTCCCTGCAATCAAAACGAAGCACAATCGTCGCTAAATCCCGAAACAAAATACCGCTCGTTTCACAGGTAATTCATTTTCCCCTAAAACTCAAGCCAAAATTATTAGCTAAGTCTGTTCCGCGAATATGAGATGACTTTCGCATTCCTGTTACCCTATAAATACGCAAACTCTTTTTCTTAATCCTTTCATTCTCTTACTGTTCCGACTGACTAGACAAATCACTTCGCTCGTCTGAATCTAGCCTCTTTCTTAGGTTGCGTCTACTTCGAAATCGCCGTTGCAATCTCTTTTGTTTGCGGTTCGCCATGTTACCAGTAATTTTTTCTTCCTTTCTCCGAATAAGTTCGATGGTTGACACGATATACACTTAGAATGTTGAACTTAATGGAAAGGCTTATGGGACAACCAACAACGTTGTAGCACCAAACATACCGCATAATATTTCTTGTGTTAAATACTCGGCTCCAAGCACTACAAACGGATACATGTAAGTCGTGTTTTCAGACTACTAATAGCGCGTTTTGCATGACATTTGTCTTTGGTAGCGTCGTTTACGAATATGCTGTCAATGGACAATTGATTATGATGGACAAGGAAGATAATTTCATACTTTGGTCGAGTCTCTGGAAGGGTATGTTATCTGCGCCGTAGTAGATCGTCATAATCTAATTATACGCATTTTATCAGCTTCAGGTTCATGCGAAGGTATTTGAATCTGAATCCAATACTCGTTCACATTGTACTTAATTGCGGAAATGGAAGTAAATGTTTCAAGAATTCTTCAGTTGCGTCCCGATCTTTCAAGAGAAGTAAGAATAATCAAGGTGGGAGATAATGAAATACATGGCACTTGGATGCCATTTCACGTACGCTCAACGTTCATAATTCATTTACAACAAATTCTTACATTATACTGTACAATATTCTTCTATAGATGGCGAAGTCATTGGCAATGAAGTGATTTTACCGTCCAATCTATCTGATGGCTTGACTTATCGAACTCAACTATGCAGAATTGCGTGGCCTATCAAAGAACAACTGACACCATTTTTCGGGTAATGCACAGCACATATATTCGCAATATTATACTAACACTACGTACCTAGTCCCGACTTCCCTTCGAAATGTATTCAACCAATTCCCACTGAACACAACCGAATGCATTTTAAAAACCGGACCACCACATCGCATACAAATCGCAAACCACACTCTGAAACTAGTACCTCAGCATCAGCCGATGTTCCATCTCGCACTAGATGGATTCATTACCGACCCTTCGAAATCACTTCGGCATCCACGCCTCTGAATTCATCACAACCCCCCTCTCACCCATCAATTCCAGACAAGCTTTACAGTGAAAGGGATCAACTTTCACATGGAACATATTCAACCGAACACCACTCGCGAAGTACTTGTCCTCCCTCTCGATTTGTTCCTTCACCGTATTGGAATGAAATGAATCAAACGATGGATCCATCGGTCGAGGGAATGTCATTCCAAACATCTACTGTGGTGGTCAGACAAAACTCATCTCCTGTTCTCGCTTCAAATTTCAATAACGACCAATATGGACATGCTATTACCAACTCGACATCATCCAGTCGTCCAACAATTACATTACCACCATTTTCCATGTTAAGAGACTGCAACACGGCTCACATCGATGACGCTAGAACTGTTCTTCGACGTTTGCGACAAAACAACGAGACATTCAAGTAAGTAAATGTTCAGTTGACTGTTCACAAACGTACCGGTACTGAGGACTATTGTCGCTACTATCTAGGTGATTTCATGACCGATACTGAAATATTCTGTAGTTGTGCTTATTTTTATTGGTTCTGTCTGAATTTTATTTTGGTCGACAGCGACGTAGTTATCGCCGTCCCGTAAACGCATATAACACGTTAGTAAATACAACAATCAAATGCTACACTTCAGATACTGTATCCAGATGATGTTCTCTTCTACATACTCTTTTCTTTTTGACGTACTAAACCTATAACAAAATTCATCTCAATTTTTTGCCATAATGTATATGGATAACCCAATGCAATATGAAATCCTTTGTTGCGTTGTTCAGCCGAGACTCCACGACGTAATGCATCTCTCTTCCTTCCCTTGTTGAAGGAAAAAACCGGTTCCTCTATTTTCCCGAACATTTCTTAAATGGTTCCCGCTACTATCCCACCATCGTCCTCATAGTACACAGCATTCGAAAACTGGCGAATGTTCGAACTAGGCAACGAGTTCGGTAAGAACTTCACGATAATCATAGACCACTTTTCAGGCAAATCAAACTTTCGAACGACGGAGATGGACGTCATCTTCGACACATTCTAAAGCTCACGATGGCAGAGTCGGACCTGGTATTGACACCAAGCAGATACGTCTCATTAAGAAAATGGATATCCTGTGCGTAAAGCTACCTGTACTTACATCAACACACACCATACGGCCTTAGATTTCAAGTAATGTCCATGCATACTGAGATTTTTTTCGCCTGCTAAAACTGTCTGGGATCCACTATCGAGAGCATCCATCGCGTTTAATAAAGCGCCGAGATCGGGTGCGATTAAATAATGTCTGAATAAATCCCCAACAATTGCGAATTTGTACTCTTTCCTGTAAAGATGGACCGCATGCTTGAAGAGGGAATGTCGCAGGGCTGACCTGAGTATCTATTGAGCGGCGGCAATATAGACATGGAATGAGAAGCGTACATCGAGAACAATTCCATTTGCTAATCCAATTTTGCGGGTACCACTGTGATAGACTTCGAGATACCCTATGAATTCGTCGAGTTCTTTCACTTTAGGCAGTCGAAGACAGGCCTTCTGTTTCAAGGTTCACATCTAGCACGAAGGTTATCTTCTTGGATCATGGAGTCACTGACACGTCTGTTTGCATGGTATCGCCCGGATGTGCGCTGAATGTCGAGAATGGGACTTGGAAATCAAAAGAGACATAGATATTGTGAATCGTTGTCCGCATCCTGCTTCCAGAGTTACACAGAGTATTTTCAAATGAGAAAAATTTGTCCAAGCGCACATAATTTATTTTGTTGAGGTCATCAAACATGGTTTCTACGTCCTTTTCATCTGCTTCATCTTCATCATCGTCCAGAACATTTGCAATATTGACTTCTTGCACTGCATATGTTAGAACTCGTGATAGACTGACAGAGCACGACGCACTTTTTGCATCAGGATCTGCTGTTTTCTGTCTCTTGGTTTTTTCCTTTATTATGCTATCCGAATTCATCCAGTCCATTTAACCAACATTCTCTATATCAACGATCTCCACATTGTCATCCGCATCAGAATATATCTCTGCGTCTTCGTCCTTCTCTACCTTTGGTTCTTCTCGCTTGATTTTAGGTGGTGCAGTTTGGGATAGACCAGCTCCGAGAGAAGAAGCCTTGATTTTTAATGGTGCCGGAATTGGAGTAGCTGCTGGAGCGAAACGCCGGGAGCTGGAAGTACCCGTCATCACTGGACAGAGAGCGAATGGACCACTCGCAACCATATTAGCAGGAGATCGTGGACTACCACGACCACGACCACTTCCTTCTTCCCAGCCATAGTGATGGAGGGCGTGGAGAAGAATATTATCGCCCTAGAGAAGGAGATCGTCGATCTTGAAAAGCAACTTTCCGAACTTTGCGAAAAGTACAACCAGCTCGCTCTGTATGGGAGCTTCATTAGCTACATCACTTCTGCAATCCGTCTATTGAAGCTTCGTCAGGAGACAATGAAGAAGGAGGGTGCAGACGCAGAGTCGTTGCAGAGAATGGCCAATAGGATTAAGCGGTTGGAACACAAGAGACACGTTCTCGAAGAGGCTGAGAACCCGAGGAAGCAGAAATTAAAGGCTTTGCTCGGTCTTTGAAATATGCACTTCAAAGATTGCTGAGTGCCACGAATTGTAATATACCGACTGCTGTAACTCACAATAAATTGAATAATGACCATTTGGCCTTACACTTGTTAGGCCCCGGCAGTTGTGCTATCTCGAAACATAAAACATCGTACGTCGTCGATGCAAGGTGCCAGGTAATCTGAATGTCGATTGTATTTAATGAGGTTCACCCACATAGGCTAAGTTGATTGGGAAATAGTTATATATGGTGCAGCAAATAAAGGATCGTTCGTACAACAGGACAATGCGCCTGCAAGAGAATCATTGTAGCAAACGGGTAGACACATAGTATCGTATCATTCAAGCTAAGAGATACAGTATGAGCAAGAAGGGTCAGTGGAAAACGTGAGAAGAACTCACTATAACACGAAGTGCCAAAAGAGGAAAGCAGCGGAATTTATCACGACTGTTTTCCTTCCATTGCTTCCTCAACAAGTTCTCCGACCCACTTCTCGAACCGTTCTTGGTCCATATTACCCTCCTCGTCAAAAAAGGCATTATAATCTTCCACTCTCTGAGTTTTACCCTTGGCAAGCAGAGACTTTCCGTTGCTAGCAGAGCGAACATATGAGATGGAGAGGTTGTAACAGGGTGGCGTCGACGCTTTGGCAGGGATCGTTCGTGATGTCAGCATTATCCTCTCAGACATAATCTGTAAAAAGGAAGATAAATCGAGGTCTCGTGCGACCAAATTACGCAAAATTGAAGCACGTACCCGTCGAGAAAATGTCTTGCGCTTGCCTACGTAGACGATCTCACCCTCGATGAAATACGCGTAGAGAGATTGCACGAGCGTCAAGAAGAAATAACTGAAAAAAGTCAACGTCTTGAAGTTTGAACGGGGACTCGACCCAAACATACAGTATCAGCCCCATCCATACGACCGGCTTTGATTTCTTGAAATCAAATTTATATCCGTAGAACGCTGTGCCTCCAGCGACGAAAACACTTGTCCATCCCAGACCCAATCGGACGTCTGTATGGAGATGGATTTGGTTGAATAGTTCTGGGCGGGAAAGGTACTGAAATCCAGTTTAAGTTGAATTCCAAGAGCTCGAGGGTAAAACCTACACGTTTCACTGCATCATCGCAGGCATTTTTTAGTTCTGTGACATTCGCATTGTTGACTTTGATGACTTCGCGGTCTTCGGGAGCGATGACGATGCTCAGAGGGTCAGTTGGTTTATCAGTGAAGACGGAGCTGCTGGACTTAATGATCTGGCTGTATGTTCATTTTCTACTTTCTTTGAGCGAGCCATAAACGATACAGGAAACTGTGCAAGGATGAAGAAGTCAAAGTCAATGAGCGTGTCAAGAACAGCGCCACGTGGCGTTCTGGAAGATCACGCGTGACGTTCTTTCACCTCAATGAACCGCCATATCGTTATATTGGGTGGTGGTCTTTCCGGACTTTCGTCCGCTTTCCACCTTTCGCGTCGCTATCCTGAAGCACTGATTACCTTGGTGGAAAAGACGCATCGGCTCGGAGGATGGATCTCCACTGAGAGGGTTCAAGTTCGCGACGGAAGCGGTCATATTGCTGACATTCTACTGGAATCTGGTTCTCGAACGCTAAGACCGAACGCGAAATCAGTACTAGAACTGGTGCGCACGATAAAGGTCCTGAATATACGGGCTATTTACTGAGGTCAGATACATGTCCTTGGACTCAAAACATCAATAATAACAGCGCCAGTTACCTCATTAGCAGCAAAGAACCGATACCTTCAAATCCTCGAAACACAAGGGCTTATCACTCTACCAAATACTCTGACATCGGTATTTTCTCTTCCCATGCGGACAATGTCACTTCCGCACGGAGCCTGTGAAACGAAGAAATAGACCCAGCGGCATAATTGATGAATCCGTGGACAGTTTCATGACCCGCCATTTTGGGCCTATTTTTGCTTGCACTTTCGGCAGCGCTTTAGTGCACTGTATCTATTCTGCTGATTCCCGACAACTGAGTGTGCGCGCTGCCTTTCCATCACTGTGGGCTATGGAGTACCGAGGCTTTGGCAGTTTGCGTCGCAGTGCAAGGGTTGGACGACTTCCCGCCAGATATTCTCACAGTGCCACTGCAGGAACAACGCCATCTCATTTTCCTCTATCTGCTTCTAACAAGCGGAAGCGCACTTACTCTACATCTAAAGAACGATCTACGGGCAGGGCCTCCAAACGTTCACATATCATTCAAGCTGATACCCCAACCACCAAGTATTCGCCTCATGCAGACCGTAATAATACATCTTCTGCTTCCGCACGATCTCAACGGTATCAGCGTCGTCACCCCAGCGTCTTCAACGTAGCAGTTTCAGAGACGGACACCTCACAGGCCATCGCATCCACATCCTATCTTCCACCACTTGTCGTAAATAGCCCGATTGACTCAACGCAACGGCGAACTCGAAGGAAGGAAAACTTTCTCGGAGAGAGGATTATCACAGTCCGTATTTCCTATTGCTCAAGTCTTTCGAATTGCTGATTTTTACTAGGGTTCTCGAGGCTCGACGTGGGACTCGGTGAAACGACCTGCGGATACATCTCCTTCCGTCCACACACCTCGGACTTCCACTCTGAAGGGTAAAGAACGAAATCCCGGTCCATCCTCTGTTGCTTATGACAATGCTTCTCTATCATCCTGTCCCAACTTCAGTATGGGAAAATCCAATCAAGTCGCTGACGATGACTCACCGGAACCCTTGCGGAGCAAACTTACTCCGCCTCCACAGAAAACTACAGAACTCCCTGTATCTATTGGCGCTGATAACGAAGCGACACAGTCGGTCATGAAATCACAGAGTCCTTCACCACTTCGTCGGTTGCGCAGCCTAGCCCAGACCACAGCGAAAGCATCGTTGACGAAGCGAACGAGAGCTTCAAGTACCGGAGTGCCAACAGGCAAGAAGAAGCCAGATGTCGTTGAGATAGAAGGTGATATCCAGGACGAAGAAGACTCCGATGCATCAACCCCTTCCGAGGATGTGGAAGCCGTGACCACTATTCCATCGGAACCAACGATCCCCAAAGCTGCAACTCTTCCCTATCCAATGTCTCTTCCGAATCCGATTCCCACATTAACTGTGACCCCCCCCTATCCCGCCAAACTCACCTCCTCCGGTATCCACCTCAGACCCCATCCCGTACAATCATTGTTCTGTTCCTTCTATCGAAGGTCCAAAAAAGCCAGTCAAAACATAGGCTGGAATTGGCCTACCGGAACACAACTAGTCGTACCAGTCAAATCTTGTGCTTGGGAGGACGCATTATCATCCGCACAATCTGAAGCATCTTCCTCTCCAGATGACGCCCAGCGTGGTCGCAAAGCTATTCGAAGCCCGCGAGCAAGACGCCCTAGACAAAAGCCTCGTCAAGTTGCCCGGGTCACTGAAAGGCCCTCCGAAACACTTCTCACGCTTGCCTGTCGTGAGAGAGTAGACTATTTGTGGGTAACCTCTTGCTCTGCCTGTTAATCATTCGTTAGTCATTGAAATCTATCGCCAACAGAAGATATTACTATATGGAACAACTTAAGGACTACGAGGCGGACCAGGCGTTCCAGTTCTTCACTCGTGTTTCTGCTTCCCCAAGATTCGACTCTAGTGGGGTGTCTTCATTCACATCCGACGCTTCAGTAGTTGCACCTTCACGGCCCCAGTCTCCCACCTGGAGCATCGCATTACACTGGGAGGTTCGCTTGCAAGATGCTGGCGAATGGGATGGGCATATACATGCTATGCATCCTGTATCTCTTCTGACTTCATCCTCCGTGCTACCTCCCTCCATACTTGAATCTCGCAACGCCAATCAAGATGTGTCTGATCGGGAGTTGGACTTCAGAACAGAGGACTGCTTTCCATTTGAGTTGGCTGAAAGCGATGAAGAAGAAGAAGAGCATGCAGAACAGCCTTCATTGTCCGACCCTCCCAGTGATTTGGAACCTAGCACCGGAGCGAACATCGAGGAAGAACATGAGGACACAGAAAATGACGAAACGGATGAAAGCGAAGACCCTTCTTCTGTGCATGGTGAAAATGAAATTGAATTAAACCTGCCTGTGTACATGCCGACACCCTAATCTTTGGCAGAAGCATTGACTCCTCTGGATCCATCCGAGTCCCGCAGAATTTTACGACAGACGTTTTTGCGCTACCAGTACCTCTGCCACCTAAGAAACCGGAAACTCCCCAAGACCTGCCACCTTTCATCACTAGATCTCCTTCTTTTGAAGAAAAAACACCCTTTGCATCTCCTCCTTTATCCATTCCTCCCCCTCCTTTAGCTACTATTGTCCCTGCACAATCAAGACTATATGAGGCTAATCAACTTAGCGAGACCTTCCAGCAAGAAATATTACCAGATTATCAGGCAGTTAAAGTCTGAGAATTATCCCAAAATGACGACCCACCGGCTTTTTCTTCATCAGCGTCTACTGCTGTACTCCGTGCTGAGATCCTGCGGTAAGCCGATATCCGTCTTCGTACACCCTATTCGAGGCTTTTGAATTATGCTTCTAGGAAGTTGGGTTCAATAGGACATGGCACTCCTATCAACCCAAATAGACGAAGGAATTTGATCGTTTGGCTTGAGGATCTGAAAGCTGTCAACAATGCCCATGCCATATCAGAAAAAGTGTTCGTGCAGCATGGCCCTGAGCGACTGCGTCCAGTAGGCTCTTCCGCGTGGTATGCTATGCACTTTCCGTCAACGCTTTCCTCCCAACCTGTACTCAAATCGACTGCTGTCAAGCCCGATGCTTTCATAACGTCGACAGGTCCTACTGCATCGTCACCACCAGCACTTTTGGCTGGAGCCCAGCAACAACAGCTGGAAGCGCAAACGTCTTTCGAAACTAATTGGCCTCCAAAGTCTGACTGTTCATTTGACTCTTGTGCCTCCAAATTCCATTGCGATCAAGAAGGAGGCGTATGTAGGATGGACTGGCATGGCTTCTGCGTCGTCTCTGGCCCAATTTAACGTCTCGGACCTCACGGAAAAAGGTCTTGAAACAATCGAGATTGACCCACAGTACTCACAGAGCTTGGGATTTGCTCACGGAGATATTGTTAGCGTCTCTCCATTTCACTAGAGTTGCAATTGACGCGAATCAGGTTGAAATTGGCTTACTTCATGACATGGCTTTTGCAAAGTCTGTGGCGACCGAACCTTTGACCTCAGACGATTGGGAGATTATTGTATGTTGGTCTATGATTTCGGTTGAATCTTCGTTGATTCATTGCCTAGGAAATCCATGCATCTCACGTAGAATCTTCTCTTCTCTCTCTCAAGTCCGCGTAGCAAAAGTAGGCCAGGTGATCGATGTATGGGTTCTGGGCAGGACACGCGTTCGACTCAAGATAGGCACGTTTATCGTGCCCTTTTGCTTATACCCTAAATTTAATAACCGTCGTAGTATCCCTTACTCCCCAAGCCAAAAACGACGCACTTCTTCTAAGTACCAACACCGAAGTCTCCATTTCACCTAAATTGCATGCCAATAGCTGCTGCTCTCCATCCATTGATTAGTACTGCTCGTGTCTTTGAGGAAGTGGTCAATGTGACTCCACCAAATAAGGATGCACGTAGAGATGTAAGATCCATCATCATTGTCTCCTGAATACTTTGCTGAATCGTAATCTAGATCGTTTCGAAGATTATACACGATCGTTTGGTTGCGGCAAATGATTTGGCTCAGTCATCCGAAGCTCCAATTAATTTTACATACCTGGCTACCCAAACCGAAGGTTACTCCGCCACAGACTTGCAGGATTGGCTTCTAGAACCGTGCACCAAGTCACCATGAGATTGGCGAGCGAGAACAAACGAGTGAGTGACCACATACACTACACGCGCTGTCGTCCTCAGATTCCATTGTAGCCTATCATTACTATGGAAGATTTTGAATCTGCGCGCGCAGATTTAATCCCTCTTGCAAGATATAAAATTGGAAAAATCTGTCGTGTCCTGGGCAGATATCGGCGGTGAGGCTTGCCCGTGCCCAGGTGTGAAAGACCAGTGATTGATTTCTTTTCCCAAGGTTTGCATGAAACCCGTCGAATACTTCGTGAAACTTTAGAATGGCCAACAAAGTATGGTCCTATATTTGCTCAATCGCCACTGCGGCTTCGATCTGGGTTCGCCTTTTCTTCATTGCGTTCATGCACGAAATTTATTTTGGGGACAGGCTTCTTCTATTTGGGTATCCTGGATGCGGCAAGACTCTCCTTGCTTCAGCAATAGCGAAAGAACGCGGTGTAAACTTCATTGGCATTAAAGGTCCTGAAATCCTGAACAAGTACATCGGTGCTAGTGAGCAGACTGTGAGTTTCCTCCTAATACAATGCCGGCATGTTATCTAACGCCTCGTTACAGGTGAGAGACATCTTCGAACGTGCTAGTTCCGCGAAACCCTGTGTGCTCTTTTTCGACGAGTTTGATTCCATTGCTCCGAAGAGAGGTCACGATAGCACTGGTGTAACAGACCGAGTAGTCAATCAGATGCTAACGCAGATGGATGGCGCGGAAGGCCTCGATGGTGTTTACGTTCTCGCTGCCACTAGGTGTGTATGACGACGTCTTGGATGTGCATCAATGCTGAGAACAACGGACTAGTCGACCAGATCTCATAGATTCCGCCCTTCTTCGGCCAGGTCGATTGGATAAATATCTTCTCTGCAACATGCCGGACGTCGGTGAACGCAAAGACGTACGTTTATGTGAGACAAGTTTCTCACACTACTGATAAGTGTTACAAAGATTTTAGAAGCTGTCAGGCGCAAGGTTTCCCTTGCACCCTCGGTTGACCTCGATGAAATTGAGCAAGCTACCGAAGGATTTTCTGGTGCTGACTTGCAAGCTCTGATATACAATGCTCATCTTGAGGTCGTCAATGCTGTGATTGTGTCCTCTCCTTCGGGAAAAGATACTGTCCCAACTGAATAAACGGGCAATAAGATACACCACCATTGATGGACACTCGAAGATTATTAGAAGCAAAGCTGAAGAATCAGCGCTTCAAAGAAAAGTCTGTTGCATCCTTTCTCGTCGACAAATTCTGTTTGAATATCGCAATAGCTTCAACAAATACAGGCTGCAAGCCAACCGATACAAGAACGGGTTGATGACCGTGTCGATGCTGTACCACACAAGGTGTGTTGTCTGCATTGTTGCTACACAAATTTTAGCCGAACTCTGCGCTTCAGCAGCAAATCATGCAAGATCACATCCGCCATGTCCTCAAGACGATCAAGCCTTCTGTTTCTACAGAAGAGCGACAACGCTTGGATAAGATGTGAGCCATTTTCTGAACCTCTTTTTGATTCTCATAAGCTAACGTTCCAAAGATATCGTACATTCATCTTTGATCGTGGTAATGTTCCGTCTGCGCCTTCAGACTATGATGGTGTAGGGAATAGATCTACACTCATGTAGACGATAACAGGTGATATTGATTTTTTGGGGGAGTACGGGAATGCAGCAACTTTTTATTTTTGAAAAGTCGAAGTTGTATCTACGGCCCACGCGGTAGTAACCGATCCCAAGCTTCCAAGGTTAACTTCCCTTCGTGCGTAATGACCTCGAAGGCCTCTCGTATATGGGCATCCTGTGTGAAAGCTGACCCGATGGCGAGCCTGATGCAAAAGTGACCATTCAAAACAGTCTGAGTAAGGAAAATATCTTTCCGAACACTTATCCTTCCGTAAAATAATTTATTAAGATCATTCAACGCATCTTCTGGAAGGGTTGCTTGATTGAGCGTAGATGGTCTGGGATTGATACGAAAGACTGAAAGCGCCAACGAAGGAGGAGCACAAAGTGAAAGCATATCCGAGGACGAGACAAGCTTGACAAAAACTTTGTTGAGATTAACTGCCTGCATGATAAGAATTATTCAGGACGGTGATAATCGAGTATAGCGAGCTACTAGGTATTACCTTGCGGATGTGTTTCTGGAAGCCTTCCACTCCGTATCCCCGTAGAACGAACCATAATTTGAGAGAACGATAACGGCGTCCCAAACCCAGATGCCAATTTCGATAATCAATAACGGTTCCTAGAAAATACTAAGGTGCAGCCTGAATGATGTTTTATTTCTACTCACCAGCGTCTCCTTGCGCTGTGCGTAGAAAGGGACAAGTGATATCCAAAGCATCAACTAGATGTTTTCGATCTCGCACCCACAAAGGACAAGCATCAAAATTTGTGAGCCCCCACTGCAAAGGATGAGGCTCAGTAGACTATTCGATCCTAATACCAAGAAGCACTTACTTTGTGAAAGTTTGTAGAGAAAGAATCTGCAATTGCATTGATATCTTTCAAATAGCACATTTCTCGAAACTCAGGGCAGACTAAGGCCATCCCAGCCCATGCCGCGTCGACATGAATTTTGATATCAGGAAAGTTAATGACTTTTGCTACCTATAAGAGTCTGGTATACTTTTTTCTCGACTGTCACGTACTCACTGTTCTAATTTCGGCAATATTGTCTACTGCACCGGAAGATGTTGTGCCAATAGTAGCAACTACAAAGAAAGAAAGGTAAGCGGAGCATTCTCGTTGCAACATGTGAATCATTGAACTCAAGATGAAGGGATGAAGGCCCTTTTTCTTGTCTTCCTCCAGCGCACCACGCAGAGTGTGACCTCTCAGCGAGAAATTGTCCTCCCTGGTAACCTCCAAAGCGCGAACAGTAAGTCCGAGGATCACACCAGCCTTTGAACCGAGCGAGTGTGTTTGTGTGGAAGTGTAAATCCTCATGTCTTCTAACTTTGTATCAGGGTGTGCAGCCTTGTAGGCCGTGCGGGCAGCTATGATTGCGACCAGCGCAGCCTCAGAAGCCGTATTCTGTACATCGTCGGCGGATCATTTTTGGTGCCCGGGGTAGCAAAAAGCAACACACCTGGAAACATCCACCGCCTACGCCTGATGCATTCAAGAAGGAAGAACTCAAACCCAACATTTTGGAAGCCCAATCGAGGACGATCGATTCTAGTTCGGTGCAAGATGGGCTTGACAGCCACTGACGATTACCATCAGAGTAGATAAAGTAGAGATCCTAGACGCTACGAACATTGAAACCAGGATTGCTGACGCTACTTGCGTAAAGATCACCCAAAACACCTTCGAAGCTAAAGCCCTATCTAACAGTTGAACTCGGTGAGTAGGAATATCGAGGAACGATTGAACTCACAGCAGGAAAATAAGCCAAGAAGGATGGGTGTTGCCAATGGGTGTATCCTATTAGTACTGAGAATGGTCGATCAACACGCAGTGGATATATGAATTTTGACCTTTGACAATCAATTTTTGATAATCCTCTGCAATCTGCGAGAAATCCTCCCCAGATTCGGGAGCACTGGCAGGACCAAATATAGCATAATTAGGCTGTAACGCAGGCAGCAGTGCCGATTCACAACGGAGCAAAGGACGTAGATAGCCAGGCTCAACATCCGGGAGAACGGGAAATTTGGATTCCTGCAAAGCATAGTAATAGTCACAAATGCGATCTATTGCCTCGTAACTGAATCGGTGATTAGCTCGATGATAGTGAATCCACAGACACCACATAGATACCCTGCTTTTCTGAACCTGGTAGAAGATCGAAGTCAATCATACGACCAGGCTGGAAATGGAGCGGCTCACTGTTCGATATTCATCTTACACTAAGCCGCAAATTTGAGAATAACTTTTGAGGTGATGGAAGCTGAATGCAGGCCGCGGCTGCCTACAAAAGGATGACTAATGTTCTTTCCGGATTTCTCGTTTCAGCGATGACTGGACTCCTGTGTATGTGCTCTCCCGGTGTACAAATATGACTAGCCAAATTGCCTGTGAACGAGCGAATTCGTATCGGCTTGCGGTATCCTTGATTTCAATTACTGGACTTCCTGTCCTCATGAACCCGCAGAAATACTTTCTTCCAATAATAAGTGCCTTGACCTACCTTTTACTTACACAAGGTCATCCAGAACTACTCCAGAAACTCGTAGTAAGGAGATGGAGGTTGGTCAATCGATCAATTTCCCAAGATTTACCGTTTTAAGGTTACAAGTGTAGCGTTGCACCGCCCTATGTAGCGCACCGGCGTAACAACTTGAGCCTCAGAGGGCATATCGTTCAAATTTTGGCGAACTCGTTGGCGCTGAGCGTGGTTGGATGCTCAATGAAATGTTCAGACGCAGGACGAAATGAAAGTTGTTCTTACAGGCCGCCGCAACAAGATCGTTGATACCTGCATATTTGTACATCGATATATAGGATAGGATAGGATAGGATATATATATTATCACACCGCAGCCCGCAAACGCAGATGACCATTGTCAATTCCAATTTCAGTATCTGAAGTATAGGATGACTAATTTTACTCGGCTCAGCTCAACACCCTCATTTCCACCAATGTCCTACGCACGCTCCTTGGCGAATTCAGGCATCCAGCTTGGTGAATATCACCCCGACGTTTTTCGGTACATGAAACTGACTCAATATATGCAGCAAACGCGTATCCGCTCGCGGCGTCTTTGCTTCTGGGTTTCGGAGCAATCACTATAGCCAAGTTCTGTTATAGGACCCTTTCAGTTTTCCTGTAGATATTCGTTCTTCCCGGTCAAAGTGTGAGAGATAACCCGTTACAGATTCGTTCAAAGCATTGATGTTCCTATAGCTCAAGCGATACGGTGCGAAGAAGGGAGCATGGGCAATTGTCACGGGTACCTCGGATGGAATTGACAAAGAATTTGCGTTCCAACTGGCTAAAGCAGGCTTTAATGTCTTTTTAGTCGCTAGAAACCTAGAGTTATTGGATACTGCTGCTGCTGAGATCGGTACGTGGCCGTGATCCTGAAATTGGATGCTCTCAAAAGCTGAATTGTGTGTGTATGGATTAGCCAGCAAGTACTCCGTGTCAACCCAAACTGCTTCAATAGACTTTGCGAAAGATGACGATGCTGCCTATGAAATTCTTAGTCAGAAGTTTCAGGGACTTGATGTTGGTGTCTTGGGCAAGCGTTCTCGCGTTCAGAAACTGTTCGCTACAATTTACATTCTGCAACAGTCAACAATGTTGGGAAATCGCACGCGATGCCTGTCTATCTCGTTGACACACCCAAAGAAGAGATGGCTGACATTGTCTCCATTAATGTAAACGCTACAATGAGAGTCACGTATTCCATTCTTCCTGGCATGATTCACGGGTGCGTAATCAACGTACTATCCGTCGTAGAATCGATGTCTTACGCGTCATCACAGGAAGCGAGGACTGATATTGAACATAGGCTCTTTCGCAGGAGCCATCCCTTCTCCCATGTTGGCCACTTATTCGGGAACCAAGGCTTTCCTTGCTACTTTCACCAGCGCTCTCGCAGAAGAAGTCCGACAACATGGAATCACGGTGGAACATATCAACACCTACTTTGTGGTATGCCACATTCGAGAATCGCGTTTTTCAAGGTGTTCTGACTTCTGACGCCGATTAGGTCTCAAAATTATCCAAGATTCGCAAATCCTCAACTTTGATTAGCATGTTCGCTGAGTTCTTGTAAGATTTCGTTCCCTTGCTGAGCAGATGCAAGAGGGAAGTTATCTTTGCAGACAGCGACAATACTAAACACGACCGTTATGATCTGCGTAATATTCTCGTTGAGTGTCGGAGAAGGCGTGGGACTCCGCACTCTGGACAGGACACTCTGGATGGCGTAGACTATTGTTTCGGTTTGGGTTTCTAAATATGGCTGCAAGAAGAGTATACGTTAAATTAGTTATCCAAATCGATGAATAGATGGAATTTTCACCTTTACTTCGACCCAATTATCCTCTGTCCCATCCCCATCGCTAACTGTGCTAGCAGTATTGGGTGGATGATCAAGTATCGGAGGTGGGGAGTTCGTCTTTTCAAAGCTGGAATTATCAGATGGAGTTCGGCGAGCGTGTTCATCAGAGAAACGACCTGATGGATACATCGACGGATTCTCATACCACGAACTACTGCCAAACGCAGACGATGCAGCACTGCCCTTCCGTTGATGATCCTTGTCATTGACGGATCGGAGGCTTGGTGTAAATCCGTTCGTAGCTGATGGACCAGGGGAATACGTTGATGAGGCAAACTGTTCTTGCTCGGCTTCGGTTGCCTTACGGATGAAAATTATTTTCCCAATATGTGTAATAGTGGCGGCTACATGACTAGCTGCAGCATCCAATAAACTAACTGGTGACATTCCCGAGCTAGTGGCGTAAGTTTTGGAAGCAGTGACGAGGTTGCTGAGAGTAGCGTCAGCTCGTTCGCGTAGCATATGGAGGGTGTCTACGTCAACGTTCGCCTGAGATGGCCTTCTCTCATACGCCCGAACATCATGGATGATATTCGTGACAGCGTTGACAACGAATTTCATGGGAGAGAGGACCGTTGTGGGAGCGTTTGAGCGGCCTGCAGTCAACAATCCATCAACGGCGGATAAGAAAGCAGTGACATGAATGTCGAGAATACCACCGTCAACACTGACAGGGAGTTGGTCTTCAAGTTTGTCTATCTTCGGCGCTTGCAAAAACAGCTGGGATATGGCTATTGATAGCGACCGTTAGTCGAGCGCGGAGGACTAACATTATATAGGTTCATACCTTTAACACTCCGTAACTCAGTCTTAACCTGTTCGTACTTCCGCTTGTACTCTTTGAACTGATTGTCCAGATCTCGTATGACCACCAGATCCGAGTCTTTGGCAGTCATTAGCTCATCGTTCCGTCGATGAGGCCTTGCATATCAGAACGCAGTTGCTCAACTACCTCCACGTCGGCCTAGGAATTGTTTGAAATCACAGTACAGATATTCAAGATGGCAACATACCGCTCCGCCTTGTCCATTGGCTCTTTCTTCTTCGAGGCTCTCCAATCTATCTCGCAAAATTTGAAGTTCATCTTCATCTTCTCGAGCTCGCCGAGACTCTCGCTCATTTTCTCTCTGTCGTATCTCTCGAAGATCATCAAGCTCCTTGTGCAAGGCACGCATGGCCGATTTTTGTTCTTCTGCTCTCTACAATGGAATTAATGAGCTAGTCCAAGATCGTAGCAAAGGGTGCATACCCGTAAAACACTGGCCAACTCCTCTTCCAATTACCGGACCCTCATTTCTGATTCTGATAGTTTGAATTGAGTCTGCGGAGAGTCACCAAGGTCTCGCTGCAAATTTGATATCTGCGTTTGCATGGTGGCGATCCTGAATTCATAATCCCGCCGCATCTTCTCGTTCTCTTCGACGACACTGGCGCGACCACCCATTCTATTAGAATAAGCATTGACGGATCTGTCTGAGTTGGCGGAATTTCGACCATAAAATAATGGCTTGTTGTAAAAGTCGTCACCGCTTCTGGTGGATGGACCATCTTCATGTTCATCAGTCTTCAGCTTTGCGCTCAATCCACTGAGACCGACTGCAGGACTGTTGGGACTCATCGGGCTAGCGTAGTTACTCGCGCTATCAGGATCATCATCTGTGAATCCTAGAGAAAAACCGCGAGTCTGGCGCGTGTCGCGACTTCTATCCCTCTCATCGTTGATCGAACTACCACTCTCGCGAGCATCACGTCCATATGGAACCTCTATATACTCCTCTTCCATTGTACTCGTGTTGGGGATAATCATCCTACTGGTTGTCATAGTACTTTGGGCGGCAGTAGCAGTGCTGTCACTGTTTCCGCTCATACTGGCAGCAGCACTAGGCCGCCGACTGTATTCTCGTTCTCGTTCCCTATCCTCTGATCTCCGGGTAGTTGTGTCCTGGGACGCCTTTCGCCGGGATAATATGCTTGAAGCATAATTATCATCGTTCGTCCTTCCGCCATAGAGATCCTCGCTAGGATGGCGACGATCCCGTGATGGTCGCCGACTAGACACGCTGCCACCATAGCCACTGTCAGACGGGTGATCAACCGAAGCCCGTCCAGACGTTCGAGAAGTGTTTGCAGCACGAGGAGTTGTTGTGGAAGGAAATCCAGGGGCAGGATAGTCGTCGTAATTAGATCCAACTGAAGTCCTTCCTGCTGGCTGTGAAAGAAAACTAAATAATTGTTTCTGACTGCAAGAAAATAGTGAACGCACATCTTCTTTGAATTCCGGATATCTCCTCGCGAACTCAAAGTAAACATCGCTGGAAAGATCCTCGAATCTTGAAGTCGGAAGCGTGGCCAGCTTCTGTCGAGCCTGGTTACGTTTTGGATGAAATTCTTCTCTCACTGGAAGGAAAGGCACTGAAGACGTAAAAAAAGGTGAGAACCAGACTCAATGGAGAGCAAGGAAATCAACTTGCCTTCTTTGTCGCTCTTTCTGCGGATAAGTTCATCATAAACGTCGATGGATAATTCGTGGAATTGTTGAATGGTAAGTCGGGTGAGCTTTTGTCTTGCGGTTAAGCGGGAATTGGGAAGGGCTAAGCGAAGAGAGTTTAAGTATTATGCAACTGCAGGGAGCGATAGACGAACATCGGGCAAGATAGGCCGCAAGATACTGGCTTAGTTCATCGAAATGGATCTTGGATATGGAGCGATAGTCGATCTGAGGTACAGGAGGAGCATTTTTGCTGAATGGTCTATACGAATCCGTACGATAGTTGGAAATGCCCGAAAAGGCAATGGGCGTCGGCGACAGGGCTCTGGACTGTGAGCGTTTCATTCTGCTCGACAGAAAGTGGCGGCGCGGTTATTATGAGGAAGGGAATCCGAGAAGAGAGTATCTCATTTAGTTTGTTGTTCAATAAATAACCGCTAGCAACTGAACATCAGGTACACACGCCGTGCAAGCGGGTAGCAATTGCGTTCCAGTGGAAACGCTGGCCGTTGCTAGACAAAAAATCTCCCCAGAACTCATCGGGGCTACTAGATCGATAGCGTGCTGCAACATACTATCGAATGATTCAATAGATAGTGTATGGGTTGAAATGGAGGAACATACCTTCCACTCAATCCACGATTTTTTTTAACCAGCCCCACGCACCGCCTTTCTTCCTGCAGAAGACATCGTGCCAATACCGGAGTGCAATAGTGACACCATTGATATTGAGAAGGTTCTTCCCGCAGTCAGATGGGTCCCAGTTCAGGCCCTCGTCATCCCATACTTTATCCAAATGAGCAATGTTGGTGGCAAAAGATATCTGTCGAGCCTCACGAACATCACAAAATTTATACTTGATAACCTGTCCATATCCAATGGTTAGGTACTCAACTCTATCAAGCTCCGATGCGTCGTTGGAGGGTACGTTGTTTGCCAAGAAGTGAGTGGGTGGCACTGCACCACCTGCAGGTGCCATATCGCTCATTATAACCTCGTTCGAAACTACAGCATTGCGAGGTACTGTCATAGGACTGGAGGGAGCACCATGCTGGCTTGCAAAACCAGTGGCCAAAGCGAGGGGAGGAGCATGCTGGCACGATGCACAGCCATGATTGGGAAACTTTGTCATAGGAGTGGGAGCGAGGAGAGGAGCAGGTTGATTGAGGTCAGATGCACTGGTTTGAGCACATAAGCTTGCTGCTCACAGAGCGCAAGGATAAGCTTACAGGATATAGTCCCAGCACCGCGGTATGCAAGCGAAGCTGGCACCGGCCCAGGGAGAGGGATGCTCGGGATTATACCTAGCGCAGGAAAGTTAGGCATGCTGTCACAAGGGAGTACAAAAATCGCGACATACTGGCTGTACTTGATGACTGCACAAGCTTTCCATGCGATGCGAGAGGAGTTTGCAATGTTCGTGAGGAGCCAACTGTCAAACTTTGAACAACAGTTGTAAGGCTGGCGATTTGTTGGGACATGGACTGTAGATTCTCCGCTATCTTCACCTGCCCAAGCAGAACAACAATAAGAAACAGCTGACAGGAGAAGAGTAAGAGCACAGGCTACGTACCTTGGTTGCTGCCTTTTCTTTAGCCTGTTCCTCTTCCCGGGCTTCTCTTTTTCGGGTAAGCTCCTCACGCGGGATGTAGGGATGGGACTCGTGGAATTCTTTTGCCTATGATAACAACAAACCAATGAAGTTGAAGCTCGAAAATCACAGACTACTCACCCAGCGACGAAGCCCATTATTTTCTTCCAAAGTTCCCATATCCTTTGAACGTTCTGTGTCGAACAGCACTGTACCGATTGAAGGATGGAAGCCCCATTAAGTCGTTCCTTCGCATGACTGAAGGCTTCAACTTTTTAACCTTCGGGGTCACGGTCGCGGTCGTTGGGATTTCCTTGGTCTTTGGTTTGTTCTTGAAGATACCACCTTCACGGACGCCACGGTGAGGACGTCGAATTCCAGGGAGGAGGCTTCGATAATTATATTAGGTACCTGATGACTAGAAAAATTTGGCAACGCACCATTGCCAGCGGATTTTATTCTCACTAAACCAAGTGATCCTGTCCTTCAGAACTATCTTGATGCCTAGGCCGCTCAGGGAATATTGTTTACAGAGCTCCAGTAGGGCCGGACGTGAAAGGTTATTGCTGTAAATGAAAATGAGGTGCAGGAACAGCAATTTGAGAATGACTATACGGACATATCTTTGTATGCAACATGGAATACGCTGTCATATTTGCAAGGAAGTGCGAGTGTTCCAGCAGGCTGAGGATCAGGAAGAAACACAATTTCGACGTTCTTGCCATCTATTTCGATATGATTCATGGCTGCGCCTGCGGCAAGATTATTACTGAGCAAGTCAATATCCATGGCCTCGACAATTTGCTGACAATGTATCGTGAGGAGACTGAGCACGGTAGCCTGTGTGTCAAGAGTATTGTGGACAACAGTGAGGAATTCGCGATCGACGTCGTCGAGACTGGTGATGAGCAGGTCCAAAGAGCCAGCAGCGGGAGCGGCAGCGCCACCGTTGTCGATCGAACTGTAAGGGACGCCAAGTGTTAATAGCGTGAACGGAGGTAAAATATATGAGAGGGACAGGCGAAACGACGGACAAGCGACCGCCCAATACACGGGTGAGAACAAAATAAACAGTAACGTGATAGTGATTCAGAGGGACGATGCAGATTCGGCCGAAAATTGCATCGTCAAAACCCGATCAAATTTTTCCGGGCCTGTCATCCGGGCGTGATTACACTGTCTATCCTCAGAGACAAGTACACAAGCATCCATTAAATGACCACGAGCGGCATATAGATAATGTAATAATTGTAATTAATCACATCAAGGCATCAACCCAAGTGACATTCGCTCTCATGAGCTGTGAGACAGTATTACAAGCTAGGAGACCCTTGCGTCGCATTAAGAATGTTTCCACTTCAGCGGGATTTAAAAGAGTCGTTATCGATAAAAGGACAAAAAAAGAGGAAAATGAAAACGAACAGGAATACAGAACAGGATCTATACAGAGATCAGTTCAAGCATACACTAACCAAGAAAACGAAGCCTATTAGAAGCGTTGAAGTAACCGAGGTACATCCAAACCAACGCGATTCTATAATGTAGTCGACATCCACCTCTGATCAAATATTCTGAAGCACTCTCCTCGCAACGCTTGCACGATTATTGTTCTCAAACGCATTCACAAATACACCACTGTTATATGTTCAGCCTCTATCACGTCCTCTGAACGAGACAAATTAGCTCAAGCTCACCTCCAAACACAAAAACCAATGAGGCTAAGACGCAGACTCGGCCAGATAAACAGCAAGATCTTTCTTCTCTCGACATACCTGACGACATAACATTTCTGCAATTTGACAGAACCAGTCAAACACGTTCAGACTAGCTTGAATAATTGTTTGAATAGTGGCGTGAAATGCCGATAAGGTCAAAAACAGTAGTATCTGCGAAAGGTCGATTTAATACATTCCATAACATCTATCACAACCAACTTACGAGCTCACAATAGAATTAGATGAATTATCGTTAATCTGTCACAACTTAGAGGATGACAGGTCTACTCACATCCGGAAAGCTATAATTCGTTAACTACACGGCCACTCGAGATAACTCAACAAAGGGACTCACGTTCTTCAAGGAAACCTTTAATGCCGCCAAACCTAGGCGGTGAAAAGTAGATCTTTTCTTCCGAACAATACACCACTTCTCCGATTTCGCATCTCGCGCTGCAAGAATTGCCCCTTTCATTTCCTTGAATTCGAAACGGACAACGGGGTTGTCCACTTCCCCGCCCCCATGATATTCCACCAAAAAGACGTAAGCTTCCGCATCACGACTTTTGGCGAGGAGGAATGCAGGAACTTCCCATACAAATCGTACAGCGATGAGGTTGTAAAGCACGAATGGGACTTGAATAATGTAACAGCGCCACGACCAGGATGAAGCGATGAAACCTACACAACCAGAGTTGACCTGGACGGCAATAACGCTACCCAGATTCCAGTAACATTCCTAACACGGAAATGAATATGAAGCAAAAAGATATGGGAAGCATTGATTCTAACCCATGACATACCAATGGCCTTCCTGGAGCGAAACTCAGTGATGTCTTGAACCAGAATAAGACTGCTCATAAGGAAGCAGGCAATGCCGAGACCAATTATAGCTCTGCCGGCGACAAAAACTGCTTCAAAAACACGCTTTATTAACATCGTAATCTACGGCTGAACACAGTAGAAAATAAGACTTACCATCCTATCCGTTGGCACCCGAAACGTCAGCGATTCAACCTATCACTAACCAATGAGCATAGTATAGCCGTAAGCTAAAGAACAAAAAAAAAAACAAAAAATCATCGGTCCATCCGTCATCGCACCAACAGCGTAGTAATATACCTACATCAAATACCCCATCGCCTACCAAAATTCTCGTCAATGTCAGTGATAATAGGACCGACGAAGAAGCCGCTAATACTTCCGATGGAGTTGAAGAGAAAAAAAACTGAGCCGAACGTCATCGCGATATCCGAGATCAGCTTGCCAGGCATCCAAAGTTGAGGGATTTATCATCTGAAGAAGGAGGTTACTTGTTGGAAACTGAAAATGTAATAAAGTACGTGCGTCCATTGAAAAATATTCCGTCGAAGATGATGCTCAAAAAGCTATAAACAATGTGTCATTACGGAGTCCCTTTGACCTTGCTCAAATCGCCTACAGATTGACTTTTATCTGGCCTTTGTTTTGATACCATTTTAATCTATCGCCAACATTCGATCTATTAGATTTCACGCATCATTAATATATCAGCCACCCACATTGTACACCAACTCGACATGTTCACTGCAACTTTGTCAGCACATTAGAGACTAGAGTAGCAAGTGTTACCCGTTCGAAGCGAATCCGTACTTAGTCTTCATCAATGCTTGATGTAAGATTGACCAGATTATTCAAAGTATAGTTGCACCTTGAAGCTTGAAGGTAGATGAATGAGATGCACGTTGCACCCGAAGAATACAAGCATGAGAAGAATCGCACCACTACGACAGGAATCTTGCGCAACCTGTTTGTGTTTATTTATCTGCTGATGCCCGTTCTCTTCGGAAAGAGAAATTGTTGAGCCCAACGGGAATCTGGGCGCAAAAATCTGTTACGTACGGTCATGTATAGAAAGACTTTCGTACCTAGCTGTAACTGACTACGGCAATTTGCGATAGAGTTTAATTGACTTGTAGGATTGTCCCTTCTTCCATTTCAATGCATCAACGAACTAGTCCGAATTCTTCTCGAGCTGCAAAAATACTCAGTGTAGGATACTCTGAATTGTTGTTGTCTTTGAAGCCATATGATACTCTTGTCTCCGATTTGCCAGTCCTGGTCATATAGTCAACGACGTCATTCGCTACTTCAGTATACCTCTTTCCGCTAAGGGAAATCTCGGCTTCACTTTCTGGTAACAAATCTCCAACTCCTGCATGCTCTTCTGGGCCAACGAATCCAGAATATGTCCCGTAGGGACAGTCATCCACTAGAAAATCGGGCATTTTCATCCTGCTATAATCTGTATCGCATCGTAGAGTTTCAATGACACGAGTCACATGAATAACAGGAATACAGAGTGAATTCGATGTCATCAACAGTTGGTGGGAGAAGACCGTGTATAGCTAGGTTCATTGTTTTGCGAATCAAAAGGTAAGAAGAATAAAGCGCTTCGCAAGCCGGTACAAACTCAGCAAGGGAAATGAGTAGGTTCACAGCTTTCCTGTTGAGGTCAATGACACGATCGCAGTAGCAACAAATAACGCCGTAATATAACGTCACGACAATACTAGTTTCTTCACCTATTCAAAATTAAGAGAAGCTCTAGAATGAAGCATATCGATAAATTCTTCACCTGGTTCTTCAAGTTTCTTCTTTCATATATAAAGAGTTCTCAACACGATACCCTCCCCACACTGATTCTGGTTATCCTGTCCAAAATTCTCGTTGAGCTCCGTGTAAATTCCCGTCGTCCTCTGCAAAATTCTCCTCTCCTCTTCCATTATGCCACTGTATCCTGAACGCCAACCAACTGATAAACATGAGAAATACGCAATGAGTGCGGATCAATATTCTCAATCGTTGAGTTATCCCATGATTCGTTTAGAATCATTACTCTAACCCTTGTCATTGTCGAAATCAAGGAATCTTGTAACCGATCCCCATTGGCATAAATTGCTACATCATAGTCCCAGTTGTCTACAACCAGATATGATTTACGCTGCGACAAACTTGTTTCATACGCAAATCACCGAAACAGGAAGACGGAACATACGGGTAGGAGACGAGGAAGCAACTGAATGCATTCGTTCTCAGAACATTGTTAAGGAAGGCTTCAATGCGACGTGTCAAGAGGTAATGTACTCGACATTTTTCAAACGAGTTATAACTTCTTCAATCAAAATTGCATACAGGAGCGTGACTCCAATACGTCTAAAAACGAATTTGCGACAGCGCTGACTATCGGAAATACGACGCAAAAATCTACATCAACTAATGATAACCACCTAGACAACTCCTTGCTGTCCATATTTAATTCACATGTTGTTCATGATACCGTCCCGAATTACGAGCAACTACGAACAATAAACTCTGATGAGACTCGCACCAACATCGGTATTGAAGAAGGTCAACTGTTCAATCTACACTAGATCTTTGTCAAAAACTATATTAAAGATTATCCTTTAGCTTATACACAATCAAAACTTCGACCCTGGACGAAAGACAACAATTCATCAGGAAACAATCAACGAAATCTGCTCTGTGAATTTAAATCGACATGTCCATACGGTATCAGTCTGTCTACTGTCGAATACTGCAGTAACGTACTGACTTGCTAATATAGACCACGTTACCTATTCACCCGGTAGTAGCAACTTGAACAAGAAAAGCACTAGTCAACAGATGAATTCCGCTGAAACATTTGTACTCAAACCGATTTCTGACGAAGATGAACCTTCACCGTCAAAAAAACATAACACAGAGGTACCTATGCAACACATCGTTTATTTGTCGTATGAATCTGATTGACTGTATAATTACAGTTCCTCAATCAATTTCAGACCCGCTCCGGTAAAAGTCTAATATATGCCGCTATCTGTTCAAGGAGCTGAATTTTCTTGATCACCTCATTTTACCAGATATCGTCAATGCACAGGCTGAATACCATCATGAAAACGTATCAACGACCTTTGATGGGTACAAATACTTCGTAGGCTTCAAAAACAGAGCATGTACCACAGATTTAATGGAATACATTTCAGAACACTATCGCACCAAGTACATGTCTCATTGATCCACAAACCGAACGTGCTCAGGAACGTTATACTTTACCGTATGACACTGGGCATCACAAAAACGTACGACAAATCATCGTGATTAACATCACATTTAATTCAGTGTTGATTGCAGACTGATCCTGTTAACAATGAAATTCCCTCCGAGAATCAATTTATACGCAAAAAAAAATGCCCTTCCCAACATATGCAGACAAGATTTTATGTATTAGACTCATCAAACAATAGCGAATCGTCAAGCTATGCAAACAGCGACCGTAGAAGAAGAAAGGTAAGAAATATTTAATACATGGATCAGTCTTATCGTTTGATCTTATCATTGCATGGAAAAGATCTCGTCGGCTCCACTTCAGTGTGAAAGTTGTGGGATCATGAAGACACCCCAATGGCGGCCAGGTCCTTATAATATGCCAACGTTATGCAATGCATGTGGACTCCGTAAGTCATCCATACAGCATTCAAAATTTTACTTAGTTCATCACAAAAGAGTACCAAAGGTCCAAAAGAAATAATACAGATCAGAAATTTGCTCCGAAAAATGGATATAACCCTACAAAAATTTGAAAAGCTACCAGGATACGAACAGAAAAGGTACATCAATATGTAGCACTTGTACGTTGAATATCGACACGACTTGTTCATCATAGAAAAACAGATAACATACATTACTCTTTCTACTCAACTGATATATCATTGATAAGTTCACCTTCTTCATACATAATTTCATTCGCACTTTCGTCCAACTGCACTCGTTTGGGAACTTGTGGTTCATCGAATGAATTGCTACCATTTCGCTTCGCAAGTACCGAACTGCTCGGACTACTCGTAGACTGCACACGTAGTTCTTGCAATCGTTTTCTCTTCGCATCAGCCACTGCCTTAGCTTTTGCCATTGTTTGTTCCAAGCGAAGGACCTCTTCCCGTCGAGCCAATTCCCTAGCTTCTTCTGCAACACGCAACTGCTCAGAATGACGTTCAAAACCTTCAACTCTATTCAATGCCTCCGTGTGGAAAAGCAGACGCATATCGTCATCATCTTCTGGCAGAACATGAAGCTTGCGAATGATGTTTGAACATATACGATTCGGTTTATTCACCGGATTTCCATTAGCTGATTTCGTGATATCCCATCTGAGAAAATAGCAATTTGGTAACGCATTCATGCATGAAAAATTATTGACAACTCACAGATGAAAATTAAATTCTATCTCAACAACACGTCCACATACAAGAACTTTCTCGTAGTCCATAGGGTGAACCAACCCTCCCTGAGAATCATAGACTTCAGGTATGTGGATACGAACATTTGAAAGATCGTGTTTTTCGGCGAGAGATCTTATACATCCTTCTGAATCCGGCCAATGGCCTAATACTCTCTCAGTAATGGGTATTTCTGCATCAAAAACGATAGGTTCATCATGCATAACATGTATACATGTATATCTCACATACCGTCGACATCATGAGTTGTTACTAACGCTTGAAGGTTTTTCTCTCTTTTCGATTTCCGCAGTTGTTCTGATAAACGATCAACACAACCTAAATTATCTTTGTTCGATAGTCTACGTACTGGGATCCGGTAACTGTCCACGTATGTTTATCATAGCAGATGCTGGCCTTGTCTTTCGAGTAGGAACATTTTGAAAAATATTCCCGGTCTTTCCACGCAAACCGTAATAGCCTAAGTCGTGCAGTTCCACAAATGTGGTCATATTGATGTCTTGATCTGGATACAACTTATCTGTATGAAATGTCAGAAATACTGATAATGTAACACATGAAACTGTATTCAATACCGTCTATAGTCTTAACTGAGTCCAAATACTGTATAGTAGCTTGTTGCAGGAAGTTCAGTAAGCTATCAAAACGAGAACGATGTTCATCGTATATAGCAATCTTTTCCTCTGAGCTTTCTGCGGGAACAAAGACCTGATTGAAAAATAATCGCGCAGATGCTCTTCGCAATGAGTCCAGATTTATCTTTTCAAAAAAATCAGTTATGATAATCAATCATACATAAATAAAGACGACATACTTCTCGATTATATATGTTCATGTCTAGGTATTCGCTACATTTCAAATCCGCAGGCGAGTCACTTATTTGAGCCACGACAGTGACGGTGACAATATCTCGTGCAGAATCCACAAGCCAGAGTCCACCTCGATCAGATAATGAAGGGACACGTTGCATCGTCGTAGTCGAAGCCACGGGAATGAGACAATCATCAAACTTGTCATTGTAAAAGTGCATCACCATTTCCAGAGGCGACAGAACTTTTGCGTTGCATATAATAAGCTGCTCGACTTGATCATATATAGTGGTGCGATCATGAAGATCTAATGAACTGAATCGACATAGTTGCAGCGACTCGTTGGTCTATGATACAAATTACTTTTCAGTTGTTCACAGAAGTAGTGACTATTCCTTACCGTTTCAACTGAATCTGTGTTTGAACAGTCGATAAGACAAATGCGATAGGTTGATTTACCGAACATACCTTCAGATAGAGAACTGACTGACATGAGTGTAAAAGATGTTCGACAGCAGCACGGTCCATAATGATTTTCGCTTATATAAACGAAAACGATATACCTAATCCAGTGCACCATTGACATCTGCGCAAACCGAAAGAACATCATACATTACATGCCTTCTGATACCTAGCATGTTTGTGTAAACGAACAACACTATAATGGAGTTTCATCGATTCGTCATGGAAGAACAACACAGGACCGAATTGGAATCGCCGCTACTTCCGACTGACACACCATCGATGATTAATATCCCGAGACATCGCATTTCAATTTCAAGTAGTAAGATCAGGACATTCTTAGAACAATCACCATACAGAAACAGCTCGTACTTTCTACTTCTCTTCTTTCGCATTCGATTTTTCGTTCATACTTGCACTGCAGTTTTGAGACATCTGTTAATATCACATAGCCTGAGTACTACTTCCCACGGAGGAGCAACAAGACTCCGACGGTTATAGCCGGCAAGGCATATCTACTAGCTGGAGGTCGCGATGCAGTTTCTATTGAAGAAGGACAAATCAAAGTCAGGCGATTAGAATTCTTTGTAGAACAGGAAACGCTCTGAATGTCGTTCCAATATCTTTTCAGGGCTTGTTAGTCACGGGCATCCTGATCATGTGATGAGAAAATACCTTGCCTTCCTTGACGGCGGACACGACTTATTCCTTCTTATTTTTGATTTCACAATCCAATGTGTTCACCGCCTGCTCTCGGTTATCCTTTCTCCGGTCTTGGTATAAAGTGGGTGAACATAGTGATCAGGGTACTGTGCTAAGCAACAATTTGCTTTTTTCTCGCGGGAACTTTTTAAATGAATGATGTCACCACATTTCGTTCGCGACGAGGTAGCCAAAGCTTCGCAGGAAGTATTCGTTCCCGAAATATTATTGCGATAAGAGCAGTAAGTCTCAGCGCTCGTACATAGGCCTCTTGCTGTTGTTGTTCGCGGGTTTTTTAAACAGGAACCATTCTCTGATCGAGTTTCTAAGCTCTTCACGATGCAAAACGCTTCAAAAACGCCTCTCCCTGCCACGTCGATAACGTTTACATCACTTTTTTCTATACCCCTTAACAGAAGCACCACCATTCACCCGGTCAACCACATCCATTGCATCAGCCACAATAGAGAGTCGGACGTTCGTACGGGCGGGGTCCACTGGGGTACTGAGATCATACAAATCAATCCCGGCACGGTAGGAGATGCCTCTGAAGTATGATAGACTCGCCTTAATTGAGCTAACTGTCTACAGACATATATAACGCGGTTCAGTGTGTAGATATTTTTGTTGATCTTCCCCGGGTTATGTTGGTGTACCATCATGTACCTCCTTCGTCCTTTGCACCCCGCAGAGCATCAAGTCACCCTCCGGTCCATCAGTATCACCACCCTGCATATATACAGAAGCTCCCTTCGGTTGAAGGTAACGCTTCCCCTCGATATCATCCAAGCGCGTCCATTCCGCGCTTGCGGGAAGCCATAAACTCACTAGATTCCAAAATGGCCTCCTTAATGAGCCAACGGCACGATCTGGAGGCTCACTTAGAGTAAGCAGTTCGCCTGCAATCACCTATTCATCGCCTGCCCAATGAGCTGCTGGCCTCGATTTTCGTTCTTGGAGTGCTTGCAATTAGGGACGAGAACCCTGTGATGGTGCCCATATTAATGCTAGTTTGGTCAGTGGTATGCCCTTATCCTCTTTCACTTTATCAACTCATTGCATTTCATGAACGTCGAGCAGTCATTACTGGGAAGAAGTGGTTTTAGACACTCCCGTGCTCTGGTCCAAGATCTCGGTCAGCCCTTACGATTCCCTAGAAAAGGCGAGACGTAAACTATCGAGATCGAAACCGTGTCCTCTTGACATTTCCATCTCTTTCGGGCCTCACCTGGACCATTTAAACAGCGTCACTGAACAGGTCATTCATGCGATGGATCTTTTTCGACCAGCTCTCTGGCTACCAAGATCTTTCAGCTTGAGTGTTCCCACACGACCTCAAGCTCATGCCGCTCTCTCTCGCTGCCAGGAAGATGCACCATTATTGGAATCTTTGACCATCCAAATTTACCGTTCTCAGGACGATCACTATTCTAGTCCTCAGCTTCCCCTCTTTCGTGGTCATACTCCACGTCTCCGTTCATATTCTCTGACCTCTTCCAATTTTGGCTGGGATACGCGTCTTGTAGGACGGCATCGCGTCCTCAAACTTGGTGGTTACTTTAATCGTTTTGTTCCGTCGCCGAGCACGCTCCTGGGTATACTCCGCCTCTGTCCTGAATTGGAAGAGATCGATCACAGGAACATGCCTGATGTGGACTCAGATTCTTGTTATCCTCCCTCTTTTCAAGAAATCAACTCTCCTAAAACCTCCAAGACGGTTCGAGTCCCCCGACTTTCAAAGATCTCATTCTACTATTCCGGAATTGTTTTCACCCGCCAGATCATGAACCAAATCGGTTTTCCGAATCTACAGTCACTCGAAATGTGTTACCTGGAAAACGTCACACCGATCCTCCAACTGCTTTACACGCGACCGTTAACCCGACTCCCATTGCAATCACTGCGGATTGAATCGTGCTTTTTCAATGAACCAAAGCTAGTGACCCTTCTTCAAAGTTGCCATCTATCACTAGCCTGGAACTTGTAGATGTCGAGGATGCTTCATCAAACCTATTAACAGTGCGTGTCAAAATTCGTCTAAATGGCGCCACATATTGATTTCTCATTCCAGAGTCTGTCTTCCTCTCAGCCATGCATTTGTCCTAAACCGGATACAGTGACCCTAGATGGATGTACTTCTCTCGATTGGGACTCTCTTCGCACCTTTGTGGAGTCCCGGCTTCCTGTTAATTCTTATCCCCGATATCAAGATGCTCGTGCCTTCCGTTCAGCCCAGGCTGCGACCAAGACTATCTCTGCTTCTGCCGTCGCTGTGGGCTACTCTCGTTCCAGCAAATCCAGATCCACTCAACACCCTCAAGCGGTGCTTCCGGGTCCACGTCGCATACGCTCCATAGACGTTACGCGCTGCAGTCAAATTAGCAAGGAGATGGTACAGTGGATGAGAATGTACATTCCGGAAGTCAAATGCGAACGTACCAAAGGGGTCTGGGGAGAACCCATGATGCCTTGAGGCGTTACGAAACTAACGAGCTGCAGATGATTTTGCTATCTTCAATTTCTCCACAAGTTTTCTGTTCTAGCATTCTGATGTGTCGTTCTGCCTCCCGAAATCTGTTTTGTTATGCTTGCATACCATTTATAACCTTTATGATTGTAATTTTATTTCACCAAGCATCAATGTATTTCTAGAGATTCCCAGCTTATCCTTGTAGAGCAATATCATAACTTTTGGCACGAAATTAATTCGACATTTTCGTTATATATGTACAAAGAATCAGAATCAGGACCGATGCATACTTCGTCAATGGAGACGATGTTAAAGGACTGCAAAGGACGCAGTCAGTTGCGTGTCACAAGTCCAGTGACGCTGAGCACCCTCACAACCGCTATCCATTGTCCTTTATTCACCAACGTGCCATGACTAACTAAGCCATCAAGGAACTTCCTTTGAACATTGGAACATAAATGTGAGGAATTAGACTGATCACGGTGACTATTGAACGTTGAACGATGGCTAATGATACAACATCGAAAAAAACATACAAGACTCAAAAAATAATCATGAACCTAATACCCGTACTTTAAATCTCAAACCACCCCAGTTGTAGTAGCTCTCTTGGTCGCCGGAGGAGTCTTTCACAATCCCGCAACACTTGAGTTACGCGGCAGAGCGTTTAGCTTGCATGGAGATTCTGGGTTTTCAACTGTTGGCTCTTGTCGAGCCTGCGCGAAGAAAAGCTTCGCCTCACGATCGCCGATGATCTCGATGAAATATGTGTTTCCTGCAAACCAAAGCAAAACGATTGAGCCTCAAGAATGAGACAAAGATACAAACACCATGACATACCTCGAGCGACCATGAACTGAGCACCAGTACACAAAAAGCTACTCGTCTCGTGTATTTTCAGATTGATGGCGCCTTGAATAAGATAAAAGGTTTGCGCAAATCGTGTCAGTAATACGATCAAATCGGATCAAATATTGCTACAAACATAGGTGTTATCTTTGGTAGTCTTAGTCGGTTTTCTTCCGTGCACTGGGATGGTTAGGTGACCAGAAGCTGTGAAATTGTCGTCGCCGAAAATCCATTGGTATGCCCATTCGCTGTTGGCAACGCGATGAGGTTTGATATCCTTGGCAAGACAGATTATTCCTGAAAAATGTTTCGCGGAAGTAGTAAAACAACGGACGTTTATCCTTTGGCTCTTTCGTCTTCCAAACAATCACACTGACTACAGCATTTGTATCATCATCCCAACTTTCTTCGGGGTCATCCGCAGGTTGAACGGTCTTACTTCTACCTCGCTTCCGCTTATGATGTTTGCCTAAAAGCTCCTTCGGTTCCTCCGGCATTCGAATGATTTCTTTAATGTGAGGTACAAGGACGGTGCCATGCGTAGGCCGTTCATACACATATTTCTCGTTTCTCCACCACTCGAGTGGTCTGATGGGTCTTCGTTGACTGCGGCGCACACCTGAGGATAGATGAAATAGTGGATCCAAATCATCATAAGTGCAAACGACATACCTTCGCGACGAGTTTCCTTCTTCCTTGCTTGTCCCTTCTCCTTCTGCTTCTCTTTCCCTTTATCCATCCTGGACTTCTTCGATGCAACCGCTTCTTCTTCTTCGTCCTCGTGGATTTCTTCTTGTTCACCGATAGACTCATTACCGTTGGTGAGATCTTCGAGTTGCTGTTGAATCTCCTCCTTAGCGTCAGGCGTCTGTGTCCTTGGTGGTGGCTCTTCAGGGGATGTTGTTCGCTCGATAGCCTACCCTCGTTTTCACTTAGGAGACTGAGCAGGAGGGTTCCCCTTCTTGCGCTTGGGCGATGGAATGGGTAGTTCATCCACAACACCATCCATTTCATCATCTTCCATAGCATCTTGATCCAATTCGGGTAAACTTCGGTGCGATATAGATAAATCGTCGGGGAACCCAATATCGAGGGACATATCTGCGAAACCATTTGTGCCAAGTGTTGTGGTCGATATTGAATCATCGTCGTTGACCATGACTCTCTGGGAGAGACGAGAGCGTCCAGCACTAATATTGCTGTGACGTAACTTGTTATGCAAACGAGTGTGAGGTGATGGTACATCGTCAAACTGATTGGCAGAGTTTCGTGCCACGGGTCGAAACATCGAGTTCATTCGTCTGGAAATGGGGGAGCTGGGTTGTTTGGAGTTGGCTATGTAGTGGATTGGGCTTTTTTAAAAGTGGATATTTCATTATTACAGCACGAACACTAAAGTAATACGCACTGTCGATTTCCATGTCAGATTCACCCTCCTCCTCTTGGGGCTATGGGTCCGGAGAAATGTCTATCTTCTTCTTCTTCGAATCTTTGATCTTATATGGTGTGATTTTATCTGCTTGCTGAGTGAAATGCTCGTATGTTTCGAAGCCATCTGAATCTGGGTCGTGCGCGACCTTGACGCCGGTTTTTCTCGTAACTTCGAGGGAATCACCTCTGTAGGGTATATGCGCCTTCGGAGGTCGGCGTCTAGAGCCAATGCTGCTCTGACGGGGTCGTGTTTCTGGCATAGTGGCACATAGTGGCACTTGCAAAAAAGTCGTGATAACGCCGTCACCGGCCCAGATGGGGAACTGCAGTATAAAGTTCAAAAGAACAGGCGCGCGCTGCACGAAATTTGCCCACGTGACGACATCCGTCTCGGTTTCGGCCCAGTTTACGACCTAAGCATTTTCTTCACTGATCACGTTCAGCCTTCATGGCGGCTGCTCGACTCTGTTCTCGGGTAGCTTCCAAGAGATACTATTCACGCACCTTGTCTACTCATGCCTATCGTGAGCCCATGCCAGGTGACAAAGGTGCGCCTCGGACTTTTGGAGGAAACTAATAATCTCTAACATCTTCTCTAGTTGTCGTTGGCATGTCAGGGGGCGTCGATTCTTCCGTTACTGCAAGGCTACTCGCGAACCAAGTCTAACCACGTTTTTCTTTGGCGACAAGCTTCTAATATGACGTGCAGGACTACGACTTGTCTGCAATTTTCATGCGCAACTGGGATACCAGAGCTGACTCTGGGACAGACAAAGGTTGCGAATGGGAGAAAGACTGGGACAACGTTCAACGCGTTTGCAAGTCACTCGGAATCCCATGCACCATGGTGTGCTACACTTGTGTTAGAGATATCTTCTTGTCAATGATCGCAGACAGAATGATCTTTTGCGGGAAAACTGGAACAGAATATTTCAACCAGCTTTGGATGTTTGGGAAAGTGGGTCTATGCCGAATCCCGATGTTTGGTGTAACAGGTACAGTGTAGGCCTTTTAATCATACTGCATGCTGACTTTTGCGTAGAGAAATTAAATTCGGGGCTCTTTTGGAACGATTGCGCGTCGATCCAATCACAGGAATATCATGGTTTGCTACAGGTATGGGCAGTTGAACCTTCTTCTCAATCCCACCATTCAGATGAAACAAGGACACTACGCAAGGAAACGTTGATCTTCGAATGGCCGTCCCCAACTTCTCTCTGCAAAAGACCAAACAAAAGATCAGTCTTACTATTTGTCGTCAATATCTGAGCAAGGCCTTGCACGATCGCTTTTCCCTCTGAGCGAAATAACCAAAGTCGATGTCCGATAACTCGCACGGAAGTATCGATTAGAAACAGCAGAGAAGCCGGAAAGTATGGGTCTATGCTTTGTTGGCGAGAGCGGAAATTTTAGTCAATTTTTAAGCAAGTCTTTATCCAATGACGCACTGCTTGCTTCTCAACTTAAATCGTCTTGTAGATTCTTACCTCAGACCCAATCCCGGTCCGATAATTGACTCTACGATGCAAAAGGTGATCGGACATCATGAAGGCCTTTGGACATACACAATTGGAGAAAACGCCAAGGTAGCAGGACAACCCTCCAAAATGTTTGTTTCGCACAAGGACCCTATCAAGAATGCCATCTATGTCGTTCCGAGTAGGTGAGTATCTTGTTCAAGGCGTCTTGGGGAAGGGCGAAGACTGAAACATCTATATTGCAGTAATCACCAAGCCTTGCGCGAACAACGAGTGATTTGCGAAGAATGGAAGTAGATTTGGAATGATTCCCCTCCTGCCATCATTTTCGAACCAGCAGGTTTCCGTGCGGCGGTCAAAGTGCGCCATCGTCAGGATGTTCAGTCATGTATAGCTAAGACGTGCAACTTTTGCTCCTAACCTGTAATTCATTTTCTAAGCCAAGCTCTGACAGTGCCCATGATGGAAAGCTTGAGATCATAACCAACGAGCCTATGCGCGGGGTATCGCCAGGTCAAGTTGCTGCTCTGTGGGACGGAGATTGGTGTCTCAGATGCGGTGTAATCACTGCTACAGGCAATTCCCTGCTACATATTGTTGATGGACGATTCAGGCCTTCTCATGTTGCGAAACAAGTTGACCAACTTCAGAAAAAGAGGACTACAAAATCTACAGGTGAAGGTCCGCCTGAACGAAGTCAACTCCAAAAACCATCGCCAGGATCGAAAATTCCAACATGAAGCCCCACTCGGCAAATTGAAAAAACTGGCGAAGGAAACGAAACACTGGGATTGGTGATAAGTCTTGCCATTTCTGCTGATACCTTCAATTTGTGCATGTCTTCGATCCAGGAATTATTTGTATCACTTTAAGAACAACAAAAATGTATCCGCCATGAAATCCACTTTGATCAACCATAAGGGCATTCATTGACTCCAGGGTCACATATTACCACGTTACAATTGAGTACATCCACAAGATATTATGCATTAGATGCGCATCCAAACACAACCCAGCCAACACCACAGTGACAGTGCGTACAAACAAGATATATTATGTAAAGCAATCAAAATGTAGCGAAATCAATCATTCAAGTTCGTCCTTGAATCAAGTATGAGTTCCGTTTCGTTGACCGTACCCGCATTCTGGACCACCTGTTGCTCTCTAGAAGCAAGCTCGCTTGCGATTTCGTTCCCTACATCGTCCGCGCTAGGTTGATTCAAGGGTCCAACGGACTGGATGTCTTCGGAAGGTACTGACGATTGCCCTTGTCGAGGACACGATGGTGATTGTTCTTGCCCGAAGAGACTAGAACTGACTGGGGCTGGGCAAATAGGAATAAGAGGACGTGGAGTACTCGGCGTTCCCGAAGTGTTCGAATGACGGGTTTTATCGGGCGTTGCTATGAAAGTTGTTGGTAGGAGAGGTGTTGCGAGGTCCATGGATACTTCGCCGTCCTCCGCGTCGGTGGGCTGAGGTGGTGCGGGCGAAGCTGAGCGTTTTAGTTCGGGCTCAGCAGTTAAGCGAGATAAGGGTCTCATATTTTCTTTTGCTTCGGTATCGCTATCTGGCACATCGGAAGAATGTAAATTGCGCAACCGTTCGACAAGTTTCAAATTATCCTCAATAAGAGATTTTTCGCGACAGAGGCTAGCTGCGTATGCAACTTCCATGTCCACAGAGGTGTTGTCTTGAAACAGATGCGCGGACCTGAGCCAATCAAATCCGTCAACATTGAACAACGACGTCGAAGTTCTGTTCCACACCTTCGAGACTCTATCTCTAAGTTAGCAGGTGCACTTACTGACTTCTGAATAACAGTCTGTTCAGCAACCATTTTCTGGAGTCAATCCCGTTCGGATGCAAAAGCGTTGATAGTGAGACCTAAATTTCTGATATCTGTATCCATTTGAGCGATGAGCTTCGAGGTGGGATTAACGTTCTCTAAGGACGGTGCCACATCTCCATTTGTGGGAGACATACGCACAGTGGGATCGGAGTCGTCTTGGATTTCGCGGGAAGTCTCGTCAAGTCGTATGCGGTCGCTGTACTTGATATGCGAGGTTGAAGCCAGTGGTGCTGATATACTCTGGCTGAATTTTCCAGCTAGCACGAGCAAGTATAAAATGATTCATGATTGATTGTGATTAGCATCAAGTTGAATAGTCGTCACCTGTCCCTCCAGTTGTTGATTCCCTAGCTCCAATACCTGATGACGAGTAGAGGTCTTCTGTAGGATTTTCGAAAGAACTGAAGAGTCCATTGGAGTGAAAGGTTCAAATCCTGTCCTGGTTCTCTCGCTATTTGCGCTTTCGCGTCCAAAAAGAGAGACTGATGGGCTGTTCGTGCTAGATCTCTTTCATGTACTAGAATATCAATCATGGCAGCAGCATAATCCATCAACCTTTGATCAAAATCGTTCGAGACATCCTGATTGCGATGCATCAACAATTTGGGATCAGCAGGTTCTGCGAATAACATTCAGACTGAGCTGACTAGTCAATGCGAAAGTACATAGCAGACGGACCAAGCTGGATACATGAAGTTGAGATTGCGGCCAACTATTATGGGGGTCTTCTATTACAGACGTATACCAAGATACTTAATGAGTAACATAGAAGCATAAGTGTTTCTTGTCCCCTTCATGACATACCTCTTTGAAGAAAGGATACGATAGCATCACGAAGATCTTCCTTCTCATAGTTAACTGATCTGAGGAATTGATAGTATGTTTTGAGTCGCTCTTGCATTTTGTGTTTAACAGCTTGTTCTGCTCTGAGTTCCTCGTCGTGGCTGAGCTGGAGTGCATCCAATGCGTCCTGTGTGGAAGTGAGTCGGCTCTGGATAAGCGAAGTACGCGCGGCATATGCTTTCAACTGTAACTTTAATTGCAAAATCTATAAGGTGATCTTCTTTACCGGGTGCCGCCTTCATTCCTTACGGTGAACGCACCTCCTGGTCTTTCTCACGCGATAGTAGCGCCACTGAATCGATCCGAGGAAGCCCCATACGCAATAAGAGCTGGTTGATATAGAACGAATCCTAATGTCACGAACTACTAACTAACAGAGAGGATAGAACATGGAAGTGGAAAACAAAGAACGATCAATCTAGTCGGCTTGGCTCGGACCGACCAACTAAAGCTGGTTGAACATGTTCTCTTGTTTTCTTGTTTTCATGACATCTGCAATCAGTTCTGTATGCAGGCCGAAAATCAGATCGACAAGGCACGCGATATGGACGTCAATCAACGCCAGGAGCATTCAGAACTTTTGAAATCTATCTTTTATGTACGTGACGAGCACTCCGACGAGGACGTATCCCTTTTACGTTGGTCTACAGACGATAAGGAGCGCTTCTTTGCAGCCTCTGTTCACATTCTGCTTTACGGCAAGATCTTATTGCCGAATCTATTGGTACAAAGAATGTTGCTCAAGTCTGCGTATATCTTTTCGCATTGGAGGGGACGCCGTTGGAAATTGCGACACAGGACCGCTGAGACCCGATCTCGAAATAGCAATGGAAGTCACCGATGAATGGCTGGAAGCAGAGGAGGAGCAAGCTGCATTTCTTCGGGACATCGACCTCGCTTGGGGGACAGACCTGGGATCGCAGGACCATGATACATCAGAGCCAGCGGATGCAAATTCAACCAGTATGCGAAACGATGTATTGAAAATTTTCACCGTTGATCATTGCAAGGTGATTGATAAAATTTTTAGACAAGAAGAAACATCGTCAGGGATCCCCTCGTTGCCAGTGCCGGAAACAGAACCGGAATGGACTGCTGAAGTCTCTCCGGCCGAGCGTCGTCGTCTCAAGAAGAGGCTACACATGCGTCACAAACGTGCGGAGATAGCTGGTACTGATATCGTAACGGATACTCAGAGACTACAGTGTGGTCGAAAGAGAAAGGCTGTTGGCTCACCACCTTACACCCCCAGTCAAGTGAACTCTGACAGTGAAGAAGGGTCGGAATTTGAAGACCGGCACAAGAAAAGGCAGCGGAAACGTGGTTTGACGAGGGAACAGAAAGTACTCGAAACCTTCATTGACTTGGAAATTGACGCAGCCGTCCGTCATAATCAAGGACTTGACTTATTCCATTTACACCCTCTAGGACGACTTCTCACGTGAGGAGTTAGTTATCATACCTATCCTTTCTCATTACTCACTCTCCTTCCAGACGACGTAGAGATAGATCAAAGTCTTAAGACAATTGTTAACTTCGGCTTTCATCGATCAAGTGGCGGTTAGAAAAGATCGAATAGATAAGACTGCGGCTAGTGGCGTTCAATATGCTTCTGCTCAAAGTGTCGCATACAAAGCTCTGGGAATCACTGGAGACGTTTTTATACATCCTTCGTCTGTCTTGTTCAAGTACACTCCTCCAGAATACCTCATTTTCAATGAGGTGATGCGAACGAGTCAGGTTTGGCTCAAAGGTGAGATTTTCCGCAACGCTTCACACTGAGAATGATATTGGGCATAAAGGGCTGACCGTCATCAATCCCGCGTGGTTATCCTCTGTGGGTAAATCATCTCTGTGCACCTTTTCGAAACCAGCAAAAAAATAGTGCCGGGATTCTAACGGTGGTACCTCATTTTGGTCCAGATGGTTGGGAGTTACCGCCCATCAAGGCAGAACACCCTTAAATGAGTACAATGTTCAAACCGATATGATTGTCATGATTTATACAGACATGTGTGTATCACTAGATGTGTATCGTGTAGATTGCATTTGGACATTATTAATTGACTGAGCAGTAGCGTCCTTCGGCGCTAGTCAGCGTTCGAGGTATTACCATGATCGTATTGTTTGCAAGGATAGGATATATACAAACAATGATCTAGTAGTGACTGAACAACCTGTTTACCATAGACCGTACAGTACCAGTATAAATGCTCCCATGGTACAATGGAAATCCCTGCCTCAAGATGTATATAATTGTCGCGTGTTTGCTCTCCCTGAGCCGCCCATTAGATTCTTCTCTTCCTCTGCCAAACTTCACGAGGTTCTTCACCCTATGAAGCCCCATGATATCCAGATATGTGTCTCAGCGACATCGAGACTCAATGGATATTTCCTTCCACCTGTTCTGAGGTGCTCCCCTCGACATGACCAGCACAGGTTCGGCGCCGCGTCCTCACTCCATTGTCTTAAGAGATTTTGACCAATTTGCCAATCCTTCGCTGCCATCTCATCGCGGCACACTCAAACTCGGACGGTGCCTTCGATATTCTCTACGCACTCATGAATCCTGCACATCACCTGGTTCGCCGGCTCTGATATGGACATCTAGGCTTTGACCAACTGCTACGCATATACCGAAGTTGCGCAGAGGGCACAATGGGCCACCATCCATTTACTGTTTCAATTGCAGAGCTTCCAGATATCCAGATCGTAATGGATTCACCAATGACACTGTGGATGTCATTTTCTAATAAAACACATGAACGTATGTAGAACTAGAGATACAGAAATGTGTTGTGCAAATTCTATGTATATACATTTGGACATTGTATGATGGAGGTAAGTAGAGGAAATGATGCTTTTAAACCAAAAAAGAGATTATCAGGCTTTAGAAGTATTTGTCTGGAGGAAGAAGATCATGGACGCTGAACAATGGATAAGCTATTTATGTACACGACGTAATGGAACACAACAAGACGCACTCTATTTTTGTTCTTGGGTATGAATAGGGCAGGACTTTGCTTGGGGCATTTTCGAGGAGGATGAGGAGTAGAAAGGGGACGTGTATTGGTCGCAGATGATGCGGGCGGCACAGATTTAATGTGGGAGGAATCAGGTTTTGGATCAGCCATTTCTTCCAACTTCGTTTTGCCTTTTTACTTATCTAGAGGGGTCGGCGCAACGTCGTTGACATGTAAAGGCTCAGAAGAGCTTGATTTTGGTGGGTTAGTTAAGGCTGCAGCCTTCAACTCCTTTGGAGTGGAAAGATCAGGATGCTGAGATACAGCCAAAGCAGGCTTGGTTTGTTTAGACTTTCGAGGAGAGGTCCCAGTCAGAGGGGTTCCACTGGCCATGGTGGAATGAGCTGTGAAGTACGAGATATCAACCTGCAAAACAAAACTGAGTTGCAACAGCAGGACTATGTGCGGCCCACGAACCTCGGGGAAAATATTCCGAGCCTTTGAGTGCGCCACAATCTCCCGCCATGTCTCGTTACTGCGTTCAAGAGTTGCTGCATTCCCAAGAATAAACAGAGACAATTTTGCTCGTGTGATAGCAACGTTCATTCGGCGGATGTCTATGATAACGTCGATCGACAGCGGTGGCAGCATTGAATGAACATACCCTTGACATGACCAATACTGACAACACCTGGCCCGGCTCAAACACAAGAAAGTATAATCACGTCCTTCTCCTGTCCCTGGAAGCCATCTACGGTCCTGAAATCTACTTGGGTAAGAATTTCACGGCCAAATCGTTGCTCAAAGGCAATCTTTAACTCTCGAATTTGAGCGCTATACATCGATACTATTCTCACTCGGAAGGTAAAGTCCACAGAACGAAAATCCTTCCTCAGCCCATTGAAAAGTGCCACAGCAACTTGAGCTTCAACTCTGTTCTTCGTAGAACGTCCGCTCGATTCCTCCAGACCACCTTTGACATTAAAAAAAACGGTAGGTTCCAAACTTGGAGTGAATATGCCACAGCTGCGCCGTTTTGGTATCCATGTTCGGGCCATCCTGTAATCGATCTTCATAGAAAATTTTACTGGGCAAGCGACTAATATCAGGGTGCATACGGTATTGAATGCTGAGTAGATGGACAGCCTCCAGACGCTGTTTTTGAAGTCGTACAAACAAGGATTGGTTGTATTGGTATTTGGATGCCTGGATTTTTTTTTCAGTCTTTACCTGCTTTCAAATCGACGAATAACTTACCTGCATGGAGATGACAGTCGGGGGAAGTTGTTGTGGATCGCGTACCATAACACAACGACTACATCTGTATTTCAGTGGTATTAATGAGCTCAATTTGATTGCTTGTGCGGCTTCATCAATGATAACCATGTCGTATTCGTACTGCTCCAAATTCTCGTGACCAGTACTGTCTATTGTACAGGTAGAATAGACAGTTCTAGAAGTGATTTAGATCCGCAAAGCCTTTATGTTCAACAGAGCAAGGGTAGTGGCTGGAAAGTGCTATCCATCATCAAAAGCAAGTTTTTCAACTTGCACTGGGTGTTTTGGCAGCTGGGAAGCTCTCTCAGTGCTGCTTTCAGATGTTTAGCAAGACATACATACTTTACAGATGATTAGAACATTGACAAGGAATTCTGCACAGTAAGCAGGTCGAAGTTTTCTAGATAGAGGGCACAGAACATTTGCAGTACCATATGCAGTGACATGTGCAGTAGTCCTGCAGTGACATATGCAGTGACATGCAGTACCACTGCAATTACTCAAATATATATGTAAATAGATGATCCTCCACTGTACAAAATACATCCCATTCTATAAATGCTTTGTATGACAATAACAGGGAGTATAATGGCGTGTAGGGGCTGAATGGATACGTGAATATTTGATTGAAATTGGATAGTGATCTCATTATTCTGTCAATTCCGCTGCCAGGTTTTTTTTGGCATTGATTCTCAACGCAGGCTTTCTGTATCTTGTATCATTAATTTCAGCTTTGTAAGTAATATCCTCTTGTACTACAATATGATACTGGTATAATTTCAAATTCCACCATCAATAATTTGGGTGGATTTTGAAAGTGGTGGATAAATGATGACAATTTGGCCAAGGAGAACTCCAAAAAGCAAAAAATGAATGTATAACAATACATATACTGTCCTCTAGAATTTTCCAATCAAAGTATTTCCCATATCAAGTATCTCCTTTAGTTTAAGTTGTTTTTGTAAGTCCTTGACCAGTGTTTATACATGGCTCTGTGTTTCTGGGTTAGGTTCTTCAACCTAAATCTGGCGATACCATGAGATTGCAAGATTATTTCCATCATGCCTTTGATATGATGTTCCAGAACCATTGGCCAAAATCAGCAATGTAACTTCCTCCCCTTCATAACCTTAACTATCCACAAATGACCCAGAATAAACTGTGCCAATAGTGCTTAATTTGTGAGAATTATAGGGGGGATAGTAGCTTCACAATATTGGTGGCTCAATAATTTTTCAAAGGCCGTATTCAAAATACTTGTAGTGTATAGAGACACTCAGAGCCTTGTGATTTAATGCAAGATTTCAGTCCCCAATAATTTCAATGCAAAGGTACAGAGCCTCATTGCCCATAGTGAGACTGCAAGTAAGTGCAGGATCAATGCAGGTGAATGCAGTAACAATGCAGGTAAAGTGCAAGCTGATGCAGTCACAGTGCAGGTAAGGTGCAGATGTGTGCAGTTACAGTGCAGATGAAGTGCAGGTGTGTGCAGTTACAGTGCAGTTGCATGCAGTCACAATGCAGATGTGTACAGTTACAGTCCAGGTGAATGCATTCAAAAGGTAGGAACATGCAGATGCATCTGTACATCCTAGATTTCTGTCTAAGAGACTGACTGCACTTCCCAGCACTGAAGTGGTTTCTAGAAATTGCTTTCAGTGCTTTTGGCTGGACAGTGCTTGTTAGGGAAGTACTCCGTACATAGGACCAGCGGACAGTTACATAAATGGTGTTATTGTCTTATACTGTACAGTAGCAGACACATCATGCCGACAGCAATATTGAGTCCCTCAGTTGCTTCAAAGACAACTGAAGTGAGCCCCAAGTATACTAGCAGTACATTTGTCATACTAACCAACTGTATTTATCTCCTAACAGGTACTTACCTACATCAATGATTAGTTGCTTCAAAGACAACTGAGTTATCTCCTAACAGTGCTGTCCAGCTAGTACCCTTGCTGTCATGGTCACACAGGTTTTGCAGATAGAATGAATGGGTGAGTACACTGAAGTGCTTGTGACATACATAAGTAAGCATATAGAATTTACATACATCTGTAAACCAAGCAATATATCAACTCAATGTGCATAGACGTATCCTGAAATAGTTGAACATGCAGCAAAAATGAACTCAAAATAGCTTAACATGATTAGACAAAATACATATAAATACCAGCATTTATATGCCATAAGTGTGATGCAGGTGCATGCAGATGCACTGCAGTGGAATGCAGATACCATGCAATAACTGTCACTGCAGGTGGTACTGCAAATGCTAGTGGCCCCTAGATAGATTGATTTATATGTACTGGCTGCAGAATATCTGATTGCTAAGTAGAGGTGTTTTGGATAAGGCTTACATATAGACCCAGTGTAGAACAGTGGATTTTTTGCTATAGGCTGTATCTATCATACTATATGACCATGAGATATAGACAAGTCCAACTTTCCCTAATCTTTCCTCCTACAAGATATAATACATTTATGTAAGAAGCTTTACTTCAAGGTTCAGCAATAATAGCCAGAAACCATATTCAGTCTATTTATAATATGTACATCATGTAAAAATGATATCTTTTATTCACCACAGAATTCATAGATATTGTTTGCCTAGAAGTATGCTTCAAATTAATTTTGCTCTCCATTCCCTATTATTTGATCAGTAGTTGTATGTCAAAATTTTCAACAATAGTTATTGAATAATTTACTTTTTTCTTTCAAGCCATTCTGTCAAGTTCACTCCATCATTTTGCCAATCCTTATCACCACTGAGAGCACAAATCTGAATATACCTTTCAACAAAGTTGTTGACAGTAATATTTGGAATAAGTGGGCGAAGATAGTTAGTTTTTCTGCGGCAAGTAGGACAACTTTCTGCGCCCTGCGAAATATAATATCTATTAGACACATATGCAAATAGATATTGTTACAATTTACTTTGTCATATAACCATCGATCTGCACAAAGGCCGCAAATTGTATGACCACAAGGATTTAATAGATGTGCTGATACACTATGATAAAGTTCCGCAACATATGTGTCAATGTTCCATAAGTAAAAAAAAAAAAAAGAACTTACTATATTTCTTGACAGCTATATACATTGATCAATGGTGATGTTTTGTATGAGAGAGTGTCATACTTACATAGGGCACATAAGGTCCATTTCATATAGATTTGATAGTGTCTGATGTTCTGTGTTACTGGATGAGTTGTCAATATTGTTTGAAATAAATTGGTCAATGTAGAATTTTGGATATGTTGGTTCTGTGCTTTGAGATTCTAGAGTACAATATTATCATACATGTTACAGTTATTATTTAACCTTACCAGTAGATAGTGATGTCATTTCGATTGTTTCCGTTGATGCGCGAGACAAATTTCGGGTAGGAAAATGGGCTATCTCAATTTCGTTATAGAGCATGCCGTTTTGAATGATATCTTCAGTCCGATTATCTCTGTCATTGGCATAGTTAAGCCGGTCGAAATAGCGGTTTCCGATTGATCGAAACAGTTCAGATTCGGTCGTACCACGTTCCGGGGTTTGTGCAGATTCAGCTTCGGAAAGATTAGTAAGAAATTATCGAATTCACACTAAAATGTTACATGTGCGTTCATGAGATTGCGGTAGTAATAATAGACCGTTTTCATCTCCTGATGACCTCGCTACAAGTGCATTGAACTTAATATACAAAAATTTAAAGATGATGTTAAGACGTTACCTGTAGACGAAGTGGATTCCGTGACATTAGAAATAGTCATACCATGACTCTGTACGGTTGGGGGAACTTGTTCCATGATTGTGGCGCAATGGTCGGATAATTTGTTTTGTTGTATCTCTTATATCGAATTAGAATCCGAGTCATGTGTTGACGCATGCTCACCTATGCTCACACAAAAATCATGTTTTAATAGCTTTACACGTTGTGGCGTAGGTCAGAGTTGTCGAAGTGTCTTCATGGAAGAAACAGTGACGTCATATCCACCTCGCGATACCAAAAGCGGCTATTGATTGCGGTTCAGAACCACATCAATATAGTGTTGATCAAGGATGATAGTATTATTCAAGCTCAATAATTCTCATCAACGTAGTAAAATAAAGAGACATTGCTGCATACAGATTTGAATGGAAAATCTCATACCTTTCAGATAACGTCAACAGATGAGGACGACACCGACAGGGATTGATCTGTTCCCAATTAAAAATCTGGTTTCAGAACACGTGTAATACTAATGTGTTAAAACATATGGGCGACCGCGACAATTCTACTTCAAAATAGAGGCATAGCGGGTGTATAGCATATCACTACATTGGATTCTGAGCGGATATAAGTCGTCGACGCATACTGCAGACACTACATATGACTGTTGCTTAAGGTTTGGTATATGTGCGGATATGATTGTAGAAGTAGGCAGAAGTCTAATTCAACGGTCGTACGCATTCAGTGTTTATCATGGCAGTGGACCTATTGGGCTTGATTTATATACTGTGAAATTTAGTCTCTATCGTTACCCTACATTTGACTGTAAATTGTAATACACGTATTAAACTGTCGTTCATCGCTCTAAACGAGGCCCATACTCCTTACACGTGACGATAGAATGTCAGACAATCGATCCTCTTCTTTAACTGTCATTGTATCAGTCAATATCGCAATGTCTGCATCAGAATAAGGCTCAATCATGCGAATACCCCCCGCAGATCGAAACCGTGATAGGACGAAAGATAGTGAGTGAAAATTTTCGAGTCCTCGACAGTTATCAACAAAGCCGCAGTCGAAAAACTGCCCTGCAGCTTCAGCTTCCAGCAACGCATAACGTGGCATCACTGGTATCTGATACCTGTTGACAACGATTGGATTGTCGTGATTCCGAATACGCGAACGATGTTTGATTTGGAGTGTGATAGCTTTTATCGTTATGAACTGATCGATAGTTGGATTCAAAACGTTGAATTCGTTTCCAAGTCTCACTCGGATCCATTCAATTGTATCTTTATCTGGTTCTGAGCCGATAGCTGCTACGTGACCCCAGTATCCACTCCATTTACCAGCCACAATTGCGACCGGCATACCCATGCATATGGATACTTCAGTATACGGTGGTCCAAGACTCGAGAGTATGGAATGCGACGGAGATTTTGAGTTAACTTGGATGAGATCGCAAGATGTATCATCGATGCTACGGGATATATGTAATGGGCAATTGACCGAACTGGCGAATGTCTTCACTGCCTCGTCGTTCCAGGTCTTTTGCATGAACGGCCACGGTGTGATCAGTATTTCTGCTGGCGTCTGCTTTGGATGGTGAAAATAATCTACACCTTCGGGGAATAGTTCCCGAGCAGATCTGAGTAAGTGTGCGTGATGAGAGGGTTCTACAGTTTTGCATGTGTTGAAATGCAAAAAGGTTGTGAAAGCATTCACTACAGGCGATGTCCACCATGAATCGATATCCCTATACTTCCATCCCCCATTGTGGCCAAATACAACAATGTTCTTTCCAGCAAGGAACTCCCAGGATTTATATTCATCGGCTCCTAAGCGGGTTACAACGTGGCCGAAACAGCTGATCGTAGAAGTGGCACAAGCTTGTGATTCATCGATGATGAAATACTGCTTTTCGTTTGTTATATGATGAGGTATAGGGTTGTTATATTCTATATGGTGTCCACCGCTAATCGCAGCGACAGGTTGAGAATTGGACCCGATGAAGAGTAAATGTAGACTACTCTGATGAGCGAATATTTTCCGAATGATGTTTAACGTTACAGTCTTTCCACTACCTGCTTTTCCATCGACAAAAACTAACAAAGGCCTCTGGTCGATGCCATTCCTATGATTGAATAAATGGTCAGCTACGTTCTGGATAAGTTGTATTTGTGGTTGTTCAAGAGGAACAGGCGAATTCTTGATGTAAGTAGTAACAGATATCTGTTGTTGGTATTGTCTGTGTAAGTTTTCCATAACGTAGGTGTGATTTCGACAGAACGTTTTACTTTTAAGCGATGCTTGTGTTCTGATGACGAACTGCAAAAGAATTGAAAGTGAATTCATAATATTTTGCTAGTGCTTATGCTGCTCGTACAGATTACGGTCACGCATTACTTGGAAAAATCGAAGCATCCCTCTATTTGGATAAGGTGTTGAATTTCGAATTTGATGTTGTTACTATACAGATATTTCGACTACAGGTTTCTATTGATGCGCCCATTACCTATTCCAAAATCTTATTGATGGTTCATCTTGCATCTTTCGAGCTGCTTTGAACAAATGTAGAATGTAACACGAGCTAAGAATTGACATGTGCAAGTAGTCAAATCCGTATACAATTTCTGTTATAAATACACATATCAAGCATGTTGATATCCCATCATGTCTTGCACAACTTTTGGACGTGCGCTGTGAGTATTTCGTTTTTGCGGAACAAAATAACGTCTACTGAAATTATCATTCAGTCCTCTAGAGACTTGCGACTCCATTTTGGATTGCTTACCTCCTCGTGATCTTCTTGCACTTGCACTATGTTCTAAAACCACGCGGATGAATGTCACGACATACAAAGAACGTGTATTCAGTATTCAACATGCGTACCGGAAGTTCTTTACTATTGATGAGATTGCAGGATTTCAAAAGTTACAGGTACGACAAATTTTCTCCTGAAGCAAAATAATCTGACTTACTGTGAACTTATTAGAACTCAACAGCTCTTCTTGTTTCTGGCTCTACCGCTCTCCAGTTCTTCAACAGAGATAATTATAACGGTGATCTTGACAGTTATTGTCATTTTCGTCTTTGTAAACCTGTAGCCGAGTGGTTGATAGGACGTGGCTATCTATTCGAGCCCATTGGCAAACAGACATCCGAATTCGACCAGACATTTTCCGAGATCTGTGAAAAGGAAAATACGACTACAGAAACAATAGCTGTAGCAGATGATGCAGATATCCAGGATTATACATTTGACACTATCGCCGCAGTGTGGAATTTCATTCGAGGTTCTTCCAAAATACAACTGATCGGTACGCGGGGTTCACCGTTAGAAACCATATTTTCTTTTCATTCCAGTACGTGGTTTTAACTGCGTTTATTCAATGAATTCAATAACATCCTAGCTTGTGTAATGAACATATTTACACATCGTGCTGCGTACTGTTTATTCCAAAAACTCACTTTAGAGGATAAGGCAGCAATGCTTATCGATCTTCAAGCTCCACTGAATTTTCACGATATGTGTCCCATACGTAAATACGAAAACCGTGGATTCGACATCATACACAGACCAACGTTTCAGCAAGCTTGCGATCCGTCTTCATCCATCTCGTTCCTAGCGCTGAGGTATATCGGCGATAGTCACTGTTGTCGTATACCATTTCACGATATGGACGGGGATTTGTCTGCTGTTGATACCATAGAATCTAACAGCTGGGATATGGCTTACACTCGAAAGTTCAACACCATCGATTTTTGTTCATTGAATGTACCTGGTGCAGTTGTCGACTACGTCGTAGGACCTCACAACATCGCACTAGCCAGAGCACAAATTAGAGCAATCAACACCGTTCTTCAGGGTGGAATTCTACAGTACATGTGATGTTTGTAATATGTTGTTGTGCTCAGTTAGTTTTCAGAGGTGACATCGCGATGGCGGCTATTCAAAAAATCATTCGTGGCGTGAAACGACGTCCGGTAAACAAAAGTCCTGTTTGGATTGAATTTCAGAAGCTATTCAACTATGTTCAAAATCAGTCCATGACAATATCGGCGCCTACTGCACAGGAGTTGATCAAATTACTTCTCGCGATTCAACGTAGGTTTTCGGGAATGACTATGGTTCGTTACCATTGCTATGTTGGATGATGTGTTTGCATTAACGGTTCCTAGGATGATCCATTTACCGAAGAAGTAGACGGTATCAGAAAACTAAAGTTACGCATACGTGTCAGCCATCCAAGAACAGATGTGGATGGAGATGCATTGCATAGTTTCATACATTCCTTTGAAACCGATGACATTTGTGTAACATTACGCGAAGCAACTTGAGGTAAGCTCAACATTGAATCGTCATATCATTTCCTCTGAAGCTTTATGAAGTCACATTTCTTCATAACTAAAATGACACTTAAGTTTGAGTCCCGGTTTACTGGAGTAGAATAAGCGACTAACGATATGACCAAGTTTATGGTGAAGGTTGTACAACTGTGTTATTGTAGTTTTATATGTATATGTTTCACATGGGTTTCTTACCTGATGATGATTCTGATCAGATGTGCCCTGAGAGCCGTTCATGTCGTTTCCTACACAGTATAAGCTAGTATAGGTTTAGTACAAACAAGTTCATACGAGCTGCGTAACAAGACCTACCCCCAACGGGTCACATTTCCACTGTATCGCCTCCTCGTAATAGACCTTCTGAATATATTGAAGATGTCCTCTGTTTGAATCTTGGATAACCTGTCACGTGCACTCTGCCTTTAATATGCTCATATCTTCCTCCCCAGCTCGCAGATCTCTCTTTTTCCTGGCCGTTCTTGTTGTGGTCTTGGTCACATTTTTACCGAAAAGAGCTTGACTCAAAGATATCGCTCGTACTATGATTCTCCGCATGAAATGGACTTCTTCGACAGTACACAGGGAAAATTGACGAACCGTGTCATCTTCATGCTCGTCGCACCTTCGCACATACATCAAGCCACTCTTGCTCTGCTCAACGTCGAAAACCGGTTTAATTGATGGCTTCAACATCCTTACGTGCACTTTACTACGAGTGAATAAGGAAGTGTTATGGTTACCAAAGAGGATAAACGAAAGATCAATTGGATTACTCAGGGTAGGGCCAAGTTCGGTACGTTCTTTTACTTTTCCATCTTGTGATGCCGCATGCTCAAACCAGTTCTTTCTAGCTATTATAACTGAGGGATCATGGGACATTCCAGACTTTTGCGACAAGTCCCGCGTCGAGGAATCTCTCCATACTATTGGATAGGTCACAAGTCGTTGTCAAATCGCGATGAAATGATCCTCATCGTCCTGTACAGGTTTTCTTCCGAATACCTCGCGATGTGCAGGTTTTACTCTGGAAAATGTCTTGACGATACAGCTTCCTTGTGCCCAAACCCTTCGTTCAACACATTCGATATCGTCGGCGCGGGATTTGATCACTGCAACTTATTCCATAAGTTTCTTTTGGCAACATCCTGCCCTCGCATCATATGATTTGTTAAGGAGACTTCATACAGACATCGAGTTTCACTGCAATATTGTGGGTACAATGTTTTGCGAACGCGTCTCATCGTAAAAACTCATGAATTTCTTGTAGCCTTATGATGCCATCGACCGTATGATGGATGCCGGAGCACTATACGGTATATTCGTTCCAAGTTTTCAAGTTTTTTGATCACATTGCTTTAGATCTCATCCAAGTCAATGAATACGCAAATTGGGTTCAACCAAGTCTTACTCGAAATATATCGGAATTCCTGTTGCACTATTATCAATACCATTCAACATCCGCTGATGCTGTATCAATCAACAGTGGTCTTCCAGCGGCTCCTCCAGACAATAACAGTGGATTTGTATGGCACGGCAAAGAAGGAACAGGGAAAGCCCTTATATGAGAAACAGGCTCAATCAAATGGACAAAAATGTGTATGTATGTGAATACCGTTTCTATCTTCTTCTCTCCTTTTGTACAAAACTCCTTGCATCTTGACACTTGCTAACAATAAATCCCCCCGTCATGATTTTACCCCGCTCGTACAATCATAGAACAACTTCGGAATACCCCATCAGTCAGCATGGAAAAGTGAAATCTATACTGCTTTCTTCAACCACTTAGAGCAAGCAGGTGGATTCTTCTACGAACGCTGGGGGGACTCGCTGGTGCACTCTTTTGGGGTGACAACAATAGTTCGGAAAGATCAAGTGATGCAATTCCATGACCTGGGTTATCAGCATCAATAATGGGCGTATCAGCTCGCTCAACTCAACAGGTGTACTTGCTCGCAAGAGGAGGGAGCATCTGTTTCATACCGTTTGCAAGAAACTGCACCATTTATTCTAATCTGTTTGGAATAGATTTTGACGGCCAGGGATACGCGTAATATAATTTTGTTGATTCTGGCCGGAATCTTGACACTGATTCTCCTTTGTACACCACGATTGGTGTGGAAGGTTCCAGGAAGGTACCGTGGTGGATATCCATATATTCGCTAGTCGAAGCTTCCCGGAGGCTTCCTGGGAGCTGAAATGTTGCTCAAAATCACCCTACCTCCGGCCTCCTGGTAGGTGTACATTTTAGTATCTCCCTGGACAATCGGCACCGCTCGGCATATCTTTTTTGGTCACCGATTGAATTTCTCACATATACGAGCGAACCGGAGTGAAGTTGAATAATAATATGAATTGTGTACACAATATGAATTACATGCAGACGAGGGTGGACGAGTGCAAAAGGGCAACGTCGCTCGGACTCACTCACAAGGTTCAGCAGTAATGTTGCATCATGATCTGTATCCACCCACTGATGTTGAGTCAGTACAAATTAAACTTGAATTGCTGAACATTGAACTTGAATTGCTGGACATTGAACTCGAATTGTTGAACATTGGACAACATAAGGCAGTGCTTGAACAAGTCACAAGATCTTGATGTCGAGTGCAAGAACTTTGAAGTTTTGGAATATTGAAGGGACTTAGACTTAGCAGTAACAGAAGTGCGTTCAAGAGGTATTTTGGAGTGCTTGAAGTTCGAGAATTGGATTTTAATGGACATATGTACACTTGAGAACTCAAATTTGAAGGACATTGCACAAAGAATTGAGTTTGAGTCATTGTGGAGGCTGGAAGACTGAAAGTGCGGAGAGGTTGGAGGTCAAACTCATTGACGTGGCACTCAAGTTGAAATTTGGACGTTGACACAAAGCCACGTTGTTCGACGTGGCAAAACTGCTTACTCAAACTGACAGCTTATGAAGAAAAGAGATGTGACACAGGTGTCGGGAAGCTTCTTGGGTGCTTTTGATGGGGAGCTGCAGGGAAGCTGCGATGGAGGTTCTCGGGCCCAACTCACCATAGCTTTCTGAGAGTTCGGCAACGGAAGCTGTCAGAAAGCTCCGACACAAATGGTGGTGTACTCAGATGGTTCAACGCTTCTACACTCTGAAAGAGAAACAGGTGTATATCGGCTTCCTGATGATACTGTTAATTGGGCTCAATACAGACTCCTGTGCCATTGATTCAGCAGATTTTGAACCGTTCTTTACGCACATACTTACCAAACTAGCTATTTGGTCAAAGCTACAGATATCAACCTTCCCGCCCTGTTGGCTCTACTTACAGTGTCATTACAGTTACTTCAGCATTAATAGACTTGAGAGTTCAGTAGGGTTTAAATGGATGTTTATACTTGAATGAACGATACAGACTGAGCAAGTCGGGAGCAGATGCACGGATACATGACGAGTTATGTACTTCAGTATTTGCTAAATGCGGAGATGTTATCTCCGCGAAGCGCCGGAATTCCGTTGTATTGTTATCTGAATTTTGAAACACTTGAAAGCTTTTCCAATCACAATTTACACCAGGGGGCGGGCACCGGAGTTTTCCGTGAAATCAACTGGTACATGACCCCCCCCCCCCGTGCGAAATACAGGTTGCTGCGCAGGCAACCCGGCATCAGCCCACGGCATGTCTTACAAACAAAATACAAGCGCAATCTGAGTGCGATGAGGCAATAAGACTGGATAGGAACATAAACAGATTACACCTTGCTATATGTACCTGCTCGTTGTCTCTTTGTATATCTATGTACTGTAACAGTAGCTCGGTCCCATTTCAAAACCTCCCTCACTGCTTCGAAACCTTCACTGTCTGGAACTGTGTGCCGCTCTCGGAATTCCTCTGTGTCGTTAACACCAATACCCATGTATACTTCCTCTGCTTTTGAGATGAAGGCATCTGAAATCGTCTGTGCTGGTGCAAGAAAGTCTTCAGAATGGTCATAAGTATATGCCTCTGCAATGTGAATGTGAAAATTGTATTTCCAGATTGTTTGTGTTACACCAGTGGCTGATGGAGAGCAGAGCGAGCAATGAATAGGTGTATTTGTGCACTTCACCTTTTTGGATGTATTGACTGGCTCTGTGTAGTGCATTCCTTCATAATGATAAGGGCAGTTTGTTAACAGACGTGGATTTCCATCCTTTGTGAACTTCAGTGTTGTGATGCACTCGTCCTGTCCACAAAATCCACAAGGCTCAAGACCAACCTAATGCACCATGAATAAATGGTTCATAGAAATGGATTATTACTTTCTTACCTCGCATTTTAGCTTGGAGGGATCAGGATCATCCAGATCACGCATAGCTTGTAGTATATGTCTACCAACATGCTCTCGCATTTTGTACAGTGCAATGGCTCTATTACCATCATAGCGGGTGCACAGGAAACATTCAACTTTCGAGAGTCTGGTAAGTTTTGGATGTGGCTTTAAGTGGGCTAGAAGGTCGGACATATTAAAATAATGAGTACCTGGATAAAATTGAAAGATTGAAAGATTTGAATATTACAAGTACCAATCACATACCATTACTATCATGGTAGGGTAGCACCTCAGGATTGTTCACAACAGGTAAGGTACTAAGATTTGCAACAGCATCAGGACTGTCTGGGTCCAAAGCCTGCCATGCAATTTGAAATGTCTCCAGAAGCTGTTTCTCATTGAAGCTCCATGTGAGTTTTGATGATATAATTGATTCCAATGCTGAAGCAGAGCCTTCCACAGCTACAATTGATGGTGTCAATGGAAAAATAAGTGTACCAGAGACCTCTATCACAAGATGGCGGTGTGTGAGATACTTATTGGGGGAAACTGGTGCAACCTTGACATAATTGCCTGTCCAGTGCCATGAATGAGGCTCTGTAGCATTGCGGCTCAATGCAATAATTTGTCCAATTGCAATTATATTTGCATCGGATCCATAGTCCAAGCTGTCAAGTTCAATGAAGATATGAACAACTTTGCTCAACCCATGCCGGAATCCAGTGATCTCCATTGTAGCAAGGGCAACAGTGTTACCAGTGCGTACCAGAACACCTACAATATCACCAGACTTAATAAGATCAGGACCATCTAAATCCACTTGATCCAATGTTTCCTCTTTTTTGGTATTTTGCAAATCTTCAATTGCAACATCACGGGCACGAAGAGTCCACATTGTCACTTTCCTTGCTCTGTCAGAGCAGAGAGTTGCAACAAGGGAAGATTTGTAGAATGTCTTTCCCATGACTACAAATGTCTTTGATAAATTAGAAGTTGAATCCTCATTGGGCTCTTCAGAGATAGCTGGCATGTAATCATCAATATCAAGACCAAGCTCCTCAATACCATCCTCATAGTCATTGGGAACTTGCCCAATACTTGCAGGAATATGACTGCGATGGACTATGCCTTATTACAATCAGTCAGACTTCAATTCAATATTAAAATTTTCAAACATACCGGAACTTGGATCTGATAAACTTTCACCATTCTCTTCAAATCTCTCTGATCTATCATCATCAGGTTCAGCATGCACCCCAATGTACTTCCCACCAGTGGGACGGAGAAGGTCACAGTCATGCCGATTGAAAATGGATGGATCAATCTCCGCATGTTCACCATTGTATGATCTCTGGAGGAGGTCATTTGCAACATCACACCCTTTTTTGCCAAACTATGTCTAGCTTGACATCCCCAACACAGATGTTACCCTTCCAGGACCGTAGATTTACATGGTCAATGCCCATTGCATCCTTCAGACTCAAATGTTGGTGACCTTGATCCAGAGCTGGATTCCGCTGGTATGTGGCATTGAGTATGGTGGATGTACCTGTTTTTTCAGCCAACTGCTCAATATCAAAATTTCGAGCATGATCCTGAGTACGTATGTCTGAAAAGAGTCCCTTGAGCCGATCTGTGCCCTCCAAGATCAAGTATAATAGGAGACATAGATTAACCAGCTGCATACCAGCAGTGGTAAACATAACATTCTTGATTACAGCTTGGCCATCATGATATAGTGCACCAGTGAGGCATGCAGTTCCATGTTTGATGTACATTGCAGCAGCAAGGTGACCAAATGTGGACAGAGACTGAAGCTGCTCAGAGAGGGAAATATCAATAGTGATGAAGGGGAGAAGGAAGTAACCAAGCATGTTTGCTAGAAATAGCAGTCAGTGTCGATGCCGTGCTTCAGATGGATTTGTGCGTACAGTGAGAGCCTTAAGCTGTAGAAGATGTTGAATAAGGGAAACAGCCTTCGGAACATTTTGCTTGTCTGCAGGGTCTAGGAGGCGCTGTGCCTTCTCAGGGGTCATACCACTCAGACAGCACAGCTGCTTGATGATCTCTTCAGAAGTAATATGGTCACCAAACACCATGACACCCTTTGGACTACGGAGCAGTGTTGCAAAACGTTTGAAAATGTGCTTTGGATCACACATACCTGTAATCCCACCTTCCGAAGTGCGTAAGTTCAGCCCAGGCATGTTCCCTATGGACAGAGTATCAGTTTGAGAAATAGTTAGATAATTTGGTATAGACTAACGTAGAAATTGACCCAAATTGCTGTCAAGATCAAGATCTTTCGTCATACACAATAGATGTTTCGCAAGGCGGAACGTAGAATCTCCATCACTCCCGATTGACCACACTGGACCATGTAACTTGGAACCATGTTCATTTTTCTCCCAGCAATTTATTAGTGTTTGGATCCATGTCCGTAATGCTTCACCCTTCTCAGTTTTGTCCAAAGGTGATATCACAAGTGGAACAGGAAAGTAATGGTCACTACGTCTGTAAGGTGCAATGGCAACAACAGTAGCATCACTTCCAAAGTAAATCTTCTCCTGACTAATCGCATCTCGCATGTGATTTGCATATGCTCCACGACGCAGAGCTACAGAGAGAAGACATCAAAGGGCTGGAAAATCATGATTTGCAAGCATCATCATGATGCGTGAGTGGTCATCCATACGACGTGTCGCAGAAGCAAGGCGCCGATTTACATTAGAAAGCTACATTAATCAATAAGTATGATTTTAGGATGGATAGATTGAAGTTCACCTTTGTCCGCAACTGTCACATAGTTAATGCCATCTTTCTCATCAGCTTCTCCCTTTGGTTTGAAGAAAGATACTTCCATGGTGTATGTGCCTTTGCCTACTCTGCTTGGGCCATGAAATTTATGAAACGGCTGCTGAATTCCAGACTACAGCAGGTGTCACAAGGAAAGCCTGAGCTACCACTTGTTGGGAACTGGCACTTATCTGATCTTAGCTGAATTGAACGTGGATCCCTGCCAGGCCCAATAGGTATCCATGCGACATTATGGAGACTATGTAGCGAAAATGGATAAGTGTCCCAAATTGAGCCAGGCTTCCAGTAAAGCATAACACCAGGGCAAGGTAACGAGTCGCGCAGGGCCCCGTTAACACGAGAATCACGACATAACTTTATTGTGAACTGTGGATCGAGTCCAGGATTATCACCATCTGACGGTGAGTGACTATGCAGGGGAGGGCTACAAGGAGGGAGCAGAGATTGCGATCTTGAGGCTGGATGTGAATTCCGATGAGAGATATGTAATCCTATATGTCGTGAGGTCGTGTCAATATCTACTGTATCAGTCTGAGCATTATGAGAGAGATGCTTGACAGCATAGGGATTGAACACTAACGCACCAGATCATTTATACTAACTAGAGCTGTTGATCCATGACCTGCAGATTCTCTTGTTCGCCATCTCGCACACACTATCCGATGCTGAAAAAATTGGACTGGATTACCAAGTCGATTGAGTCTGCATACTTTTTCACAGATATCACACTCCATGGTATGATAACAGAATTTGTACCCTTGCTCGGAATGGTGGTACATCGTATGAATAACCGGACCATTGTTGATATTGATGGCTATGGATTCGTATTTTGTAGGAGCAATTTTTCGAACCATGTTCACCCAAGGTCATAAAAAAGGCATAGGATTTCGAGACATAATACACAAGACAGTATCATTATTATATAAAGCAGAGATAAAGGAATAGTGCATCTTGGCATTGCGCTGTGCTAACGATGATAGGTAAAAGCCTGAATTGATGAGAGATAAAAGATTGCGCTAACAATGATAAGTAGAATCCTGAATCGATGAGAGATAAAAGATTGTAACGATTACTTAGACCTGATGTGAACAAGATAACGGCTTACACAGCCGTACAGCCGAGTACAGCAATCTTCAAATTCACATGGGGGGGTATTTACCAGTCGATTTCACGGAAAACTCCGGTGCCATCCCCCTGATTTACACCTTGCTTGTGTGGTTTTGGGCTGAGCAAAGCAAACTAACCATTATTATATAGTGTTAATTGAACTGTATGATGATAATATGTGCTCTATACATTAACACTGTACTTAATTTTACAGCACAGGCAATTTGTGTGAACTTCACTATTTACAGACAATGCACTTGGACTATTAATATTGTTTGCTCTACAATGTAAACACCGAAGCTCCTTGTCACTCCCATTTGCCAGTGTCATGACCTTTACATGAACACCAACACCCCATAACAGCCTCCTTACTAGGATCACTCGCAACCTCCACACCCACCACGGGAACATCCTCGCTATTCCCCTCTGCTAAAAGTCAAAACCTGACCATGAGCCTGTGCAAGGAGCACCCGGAGCTCCTCTACCTCAGTCTTCAATCAGTCATTTTCAGCCTTTAGAGCAGAAGAGGCTTGTGAACGAGGGTAGGGGCACAAAGCCTCCCAAAGATGTGGGATAGGCATGACATTCAGACGGAAGAAAAAAAAGGGAAGACAAAACCAGTTACCGACCTGTTGTACAGGAGGGGTCTAGAGAAACCATCCACCTTGCTTAGTGGCATGAACTGTTCAAACGAACCAGTCTGTGGAACACAATTGGGGATCTCACCTTGACCCTGAGATCAAGATCGGCTGATAACCAACTAATTGGTGAAATCCTCAGGAATAAGATATCCCACTGCTTGCAAGCTGAGAAGCTCCAAATCTGGAATAGGGGGAGGGATGAAGGACGAGAACCACACGGCGATACACTGATGCCCCCCCCTCCACCTGCGGAACAGTATGTGCAATGCAGGATGATCTGTCTACCTGCTGCACAGCATGCCAATGCTTTGGAGCAGAGCCTGTATCTACCTTGACGAGTTGCTTCCATTTTTCCACTGTCAGAGCAGGAGGGAGGAGAGAAACAGGGGGGAAGAATCATGACCTACAGGAGAGGAGTGAGGATCCACTGGTCAAGGAACAGCAGGTCCACTGGGGTCACCGGGCTAACCACACGGTCCTGGTGGACCTAGCGAACCCTGTACTCCAATACCTCCTGACATTCCCAACAAGCAATGTGCCATGTTGGAACTTCTCTCTGGCTTCAATGGTTCTATTGAAACCCTCGGTACCATATTAGCTGCTCTCAACTGACCCTCTGACAGCTCTTAATCCAAGAGCAAGGTCAAGAAGCCAGAGGTATTTGATGGTTCGGACCCCGGAAGTTCAAAACCTTCTTTGTCAATATTGTCCTGGTCTTTAATGACCAACTAAAGTGTTTCACCAACCAGTGGAAGATGAACTATACTCTTTCTTACCTCAGTGACTCAGCCAAAGAGTGATTTATTCCTGACATCCTGAATCCAGATCTCAACACTCTGCCTGTTTGGACCTCTTCATTCAAAGCTCTTGTAAAAGAGCTACAGGACAAATTCAGCGTTTATGACACCCAAGGTGATGCCGAAAACTCTCTCAGTAACCTGAAGATAAAGGAAATCAAAAACATCTGGTTCAACACCCTGACTGCCAGTACCAATTGAGACTCTGCTACCCTGAAATGGGCTTATGAATGAGTTTTGGCAGAACAGATTAAGGACAAAATGGCGTGCATCCTCGAACCGGTGAGTGTCATTGAAGGTCCGCTGACAAATTTGCTGAAATCCGTTGCCCTACCACAGCATTACACAAAATCGGCATACCGGAAGGTTATGGAGTCATTTAAGCTAGCCGACAAGTGGACCCTGGACCACACCAAAGCATTCATAGCACTGAAAAAAAAGTGCTGGTTTCAGAACCAGTCCTGAAAGCGCCCAGATGAGATGGGTCCAGCTTCATTATCACCACTGATGGCTGCAAGGAGGGCTCTGCCGCGGTAGTAGCACAACAATTTGAGGTGGTCCAACTACTTACAAAACACACCCAGTGGTTTTTGCGTCAAAACAAACATCGACCTCTGAGCAGAACTACAAACCATTCCTGCTCGAATTTGCGGCACTGATGTTCGGGTTTGACAAGTTTTCAGACATGATTTGGGGTTTCCCTATTGAGATTGAGACGGACTGCCAGGTGCTATGGGATATGATTGCAAATGACAAGCTGAATGCGGCTCATAGCAGATGGAGAGATGCGGTGTTAGCTCACCACATTGTGGACATGAGACACATTCCGGGCAAATTGAACATGGTGGTGGACGGCTTAAGCAGAATGTGGGAAGGTCAAGACCGGGTAATAGGGGACAGGAGTGAATGGACTGTCAGCGAGGATTGGGAGGCCGTCACGGGGCTGGTCAATGACGTCTTTGGGGTAAGTATCGCAGAAGGGATGATGGTGGATGGAGAAGCAACGAACTGGGAAACTGTCATGCACTGGCACTAAACCACAATGCTGTAACTCCGTTGCTCTACTCAAGCAATGCCCCCAAACCTCCTTCCTCTTTTGGGAAACTCCCTTGAACCTCCTGACGCCACCTCCAGACCTCCTCAAACCACCACCCAAAAACTCAATACCCCCATAACCGCCTACTGCCTACCGCCTGACGGACCCGGGAACCCATCCAAGCTTCCATCAGCTCATCCTCATGTATTCTAGATCATATCCATTTAATGCCCACTTCACACAATGCTCCCCTGATCCTTTCATGTTGTCTATATAAGTACCCTTGTATCCTAAAGATCCCCAGCTTGGTATATTTTGAACATACACCTTTTTGCATAGGTCCAGTCCCTGTCCCTTTGTACATGCTAACCATACGGATTTCTCTTTACTCTCTGTTTCTCTCTACTCTTGTCTATTGTCTCTACAATCATCTATACAATCCAATATACACTTTTACTTCACATCTACGCAATCCGAGTAAGTCTCCAAGCTCTCTTGAACAATACTAAAGTTCCCCAAACGCCTAACAACTTGGTGAGCTAACCTCCCCAATTTCTCCACAAGCTCTGGGACCTCGATGTAGGTAAAGCCGAACTATGTGCCGCTTCTCTGTTACAACCTCCAACACTCAAGGACGTCCATCCCTAAGCTCCAGTTCCCAGCACCTCCCCTCCTGGGCATATATCTTCTCAGGAGCATACACAATCAAGACCCACTTCCACTATGACCTATTCAATCTTACGTTGATGTTCCAGCGAATACAACTCCTACTATGCAACACTACTAAGTTCCGTACTCCTACCTCCCCTACCTGCGCCTTAGGAGCCTCCCTGAACCTTATAGGAACCCCTCCAAGGGTGACATCCCTTTATCCCAGCCACTACTAGAACATTCCTGTTCTCGGTTGCGGTTCCCGTAGCTCCCTTCCAACTCCAGCCTGCTTCTAGCACACTACAACATAAACTCCTTATACCAAAACCTACCCTAAGACCTATTATGAGCCAGGTCCAACATTATACCAAGCTCTCCCGTCACTGAACGGACTCATTGCAACGTCAATGGAGCAACCTTCTAGTTCCAAACTCGAATTGAAGAAACAAAAGAGTGCCTTATCTCGTGGAAACATGACACAAGCTCAAAAGTCAAACCAGGCTGCTAGCTCCACTGTTATCATGATGGCAGCAGGTCAACATCTGATGTCTATCCCAGAACAGTCGTTTGGGGATGAAACCACTAGCAACGTAAGGACCCCCGACAGACGTCAACCTGCAGTTCAAGAGCCTCCTCCAGTGGACCCTTGAATGGGACTACCACAGCGGAGGTATACTTCCATGGGTTATGCCCAACCCGCCAGTAGTCCCATGGGAGGTTTCTCATACTCCACTACCTGGGGAACGAGAGGACCTCCCCCTGGACCGGTACCGCAACTAAACATGGAGTCAGCTTCAAAGCCGGGTGGGAACAGTCAGCGACCAAGTAGCCGCTATAGAAAGGATACAAAGGGAAAATGCGGATCCTCTTATGGTATGACAACAGGAGAAACTCCCGGAGAGGAAGGTATCACCTGCAGTATCTGAACAGTCTTGGACGTCATCCCGGAGGTTACCAACTCCTCCTGTACAGTCCCTTAACCTTCCTCCCCCAAGACGAGGAAGTTCGCTCTCCAGTTTCCTGAAGAGTCCAGCTTTGAATACGCCCAACTGGGAGCGTACACATGCGATACATTATAGCAGGACCAACTTCCCAGTGCAACCGTTGTCGGAAATGACATTGCGTCTGGAAGTCGTCATTCAAATCCAAGAGTGTATCCCAGAAGACGTAGCTATGGTCTTAAGGGAGGTATTAGAATTGATGGGGATCAAAATATTGGGAGACGATCTCGAATTCTCAGACTTATGGCTATAATTCCTAACAGTGGGAATTCAACTGCAGATAGACCTCCCAAAGAAGACTCAACACTAGCTGATGACCCCGGCAAACTGATCAGACTTTCTCTGGTTGTACAACGTCCTATTGGACCCAGAAAGGATGTTGAAATTGTTAGAGGCAGATGCACGTTACGGGCAATCGTTCCGAAACTTGAGGGGAATACTTCCCCTTCTCCCTCATACCCATAGAAGAAAGAAGGAGTTCTGCGGCAAAGCGGGGCTACGGATATTGTACCGAGCCTCTCCTAGCACGCTACAACGTAAACTCCTCATACCAAAACCTACCCTAAGACCTATTCTGACCCAGGTCTTACCGTCATTGCTAATGCTCTTTGGTCGCCTCCCTTTGGTCCTTCCTCAACTCACACTTTCCGATAAACCTCTCAAATTCCGTGATGTAGGCCGATATGTGGGCATCTTATTTCAATCCACCCATCATAACATGTTTACTCCCCACTACACCAAAAAGTGCGACGCTGCCGTTGGGACTGCATGTGCAATCACAGGCTGCAATCTGGTTGTTGGAAATCATCGCATGCCTCCCTCCATCACTAAACAACTATACACAGCGCTCGTGGACTGCCATCTCACCAACGGTTGCGAGATCATACCTGATATTGACCTTAGCCTTTTCCAGATCCTCAAAGACGTCCAAATCCGCTTTCTACGCCGAATGCTCAACCTCTCCAACAACTCAGTCATCACACCACTGTTCATCGAATCAGGCATCATGCCTATTCACACCTGCTGCACATCGCTCGCACTCCGATACCTCAAATACCTCATCACTCTCCCTCCTTCCCACTATGCATTCTCGGCCCTCTGGGAGAAAAACAACCTTCACCATGCTGGCTGTCCATGCTGGCTCTCAGACTTGGACTATGCCATCTCCCAACTCCCGGGCCACCACCACCTGCCTCACCTTCAGGATCTCAACATTGTCTGTATTGACACTCTCATCAAAACTATTGAGTTCTCCACGAAATCTGAACTACAATCCCATATCAACACCTGGTCCAAACTCTCTTTACTCTGAAATCGCCTAGAACTGAAGCAAGTGGGTCCTGCAAAACAGCAAATCATTGGACTTCAGCATTATCTCACTCAGGTCAAGAACCACGCTCATCGTCGAACTGTCACCAAACTCCTCTGTGGCGACCTCACCCCCCAAGTACTCTGAGCTTCCGCCTCACCCCTTCGTCCACTCACCCCTACTGATGTTCTTAACCGAGCCTGTCGTGCATGTAACTTGCACAGAGAAACTCCTCAACACCTTCTGCTTCAATGCCCATCTCTTACCTCTATCACTTCTCTTCGATCCGAGTTCTTCTTATCCATTCGTCAGTCTCAGCCGCTACCATACAGCCCAAACCTTTCGGACTGCACTGCACTACACTATCTCACGTTATTAGTTTCCGATTGGAACCTAATCATCCCCACCACCAAGTTCATCCACGATGTTGTGACTATCTGGCAACTCTTCTTAAATACTGGTTTAGATGGCTCCTTGGAACTTGTTGAAAGCGATTATGAGTTGGAAGAGGAGTGATTTATGTCTGTTCCGTTCTATTCTTATATGTTTACAACAACTACCTTGTACTATATCCCCTTCATTCTAGCTGCAGTCTACCATCCCAGGTTAGATGAGCATTCGCTGCAGCGAAGATTGCTGGGCCCAGCTGTTCCCTTGTGGGACCCTGTTGACTCGACGGAGCCACGTATTTATCTATCTATCTATCTAATAGATAAAAGACTTCCAGACTACTGTGCTCCATCCCAAATACATGTTGTGGTAGTGAAGGAAATTGGCAGGGTCAGCAGTATACAATTGATGCGCAAAAGTAGCAAGGCGCCACACAAACACTTTGGACTCATTCAACCTGTCTTGCATGAAAGACAGGGAGGGTAAACCAACCTCGTACAGGCCCTCGTCCTCAGAGTACTGACGGATCAAACCCTCCGCGACGTGAGCACAACTCCGGTAACGGTGGACAGACTCCTTGAGCTCCTCATGCATCTCGAAGGAGTGTTTGTCAGCATTGGCTATCTGCTGTCAAAGGTGCGCAATCTCCTGCTTCTGATTGACAGCAGTCTCCCGGTAACTCCCAACTGCCGACAGAGCAATGAAGAAACAAGTCAGCATGTCCTGAGCAGATAAAATCAGCAATAACCCAGAAAGGAGGTGTCAAGTCCATGCCGCGGGCCTCCATTCCGCCGCTCGGGATTCCGAAGATCTACTCCTTATTGTAATCTCTTCCTATTGTTCTTTCTCGCTACACATACCCTTTCGTTCTAGTCCCTTCTTATTGTCTTTTACTTTACCCTGCAGGTACTACTCGTATAGCTCCTAGTAGTTAGTCTGGCGCTCCGCACCGCTGCACCGTTCCGTAGATATAAATACTGCCTGTACGCTACTGTAGTCCCTCAGTTTAATTATTGACTTAGATTCCCTCCTTAACTCTGTGCTCCTCTAAGTCTTCAGGCTCTCCGCCTTGAAGTACTCTGTACTATAACCTTAGGACTTAGACGTTCTCTGGTTCGCTCCTCGTCACCGGCGATACCGCCGCTCCGACTTGGCTGCTCCTCAGTTCCTCCCTTCTCTACTCTCGATCTCCAGGGACTAACAGCGTAACGGCGGTGTTGTTAATAACTTCACTACTGTCCCACTCGTCTTCCGCACTTAGACACCTTGTGGCTTTGGCACGGTTACACGGTGTACATGATCTTAACAGTATAATTAAACTCAATCTGTTAATGTCGTACTGACTTATCATTTTTTATGCCTCCGAAAACTCGAGCTCAATCCAGAGATAACTCCGAAGAAAACACTTTCTTCACTACAGCCCAATCATTTGCTCCATTCTCCGAATCTATCTCTGCCATCGGTCAACCACGTCGCCGTAATCGCGGTTTCGGTCCAGCTACAGTCCCTACTACGTCGACTCTTCCTGAAGCCATGGAAGAAGAACAACAATTTGAGTATAGTATCTTGTACACTGGTGACGGACAACCTGTCCAAGTCCTGACCCCTCGCCATAGACAACCCCCCCATGGTCGCTCCGGCTCGGGGCCGTTCAACTACTCGAATTGATTCTCCAATTCTCCAAGCCATAGCCCGCCGTACGGGGAAACAACCCCAACGTCATGCTGCTTCTGAATCTCCTCGTGACCCACCTCCTCACTTCGATTTGGACACCGGTGATCACAATGATCAAGACCCTCCTGTCGACCCTGACGATTCGGGCGCCGATAATAATCATGACGATCTGGATGACGACTCCGGCGGTTTACCGCGTGGTGAGCCTGGTGACCCCAGTGGACCGGGTGGTCCTGGTGGTCCCGGCGGTCCCGGCGGTCCTGGTGGACCTGGTGGACCCCGTTCTCCTATCTCTCCTGACATTCCCAACGAGCAACGTGCTATGTTGGAACTCCTCTCGGGATTCAAGAGTTCCATTGAAACCCTTGGTACCATTCTCGCCGCTCTTGGCCATCCTTCTGACAGCTCTGAATCTAAGAGCAAAGTCAAGGAGCCAGAGATATTCGACGGTTCGGATCCCCGAAAACTCAAGACGTTCTTTGTCAATCTCGCCCTGGTCATTGAAGTTCGTCCCTGATATTCTCGACCCGGATCTCGACTCGCTGCCAGCCTGGACATCCTCCTTCAAAGCCCTTGTAAAGGAGCTTCAGGACAATTTCGGCGTTTACGACGCCCAAGGCGAGGCCGAAGATTCTCTCGGTAATCTGAAAATGAAGGAAACCGAGAACATCCGGAAATACAACATCCAGTTCAACACCCTGGCTGCTAGTACCACTGGGACTCTGCTGCCCTGAAATGGGCTTATGGACGAGGCCTAGCTGAACGCATCAAGGACAAAATGGCGCGTTTGCCCGAGCCGGCGACGCTCGCCGATTATCATCAAGAGGTTCTTCGTATTGACAATCGCTATTGGAAACGCGAGGAAACTAGAAAGCATGAGGCTGGTAAGCCTTTCATTGCTTGGAACCCGAAGAAGGGTTCCTCGGACTTTAAGACTGGTTCTACTAACCAGCAAAACAACTCTCAGCCATCTGGCTCTTCGGCGCCGTTTACGCCGAAGCCTAAACCCTTCTCTGATGGTAAGCCTAACAACAATGATAAGCCCCAGAACTCTTCGAATTCCGGCCAATCCGGCGGTCAGTGCCCCGCTTTCAACCATCTTGGTGCAGATGGGAAAGTCCTTCCCTCCGAGAAGGAAAGAAGGATGAAGAACAACCTTTGTCTCTTCTGCGGTGGTAAGCATCAGATTGCTGACTGCAATAAGCAAAAGGCCCGAGAATTGAAGGGCTGTGCTGCGAGGTTGAAGAAACCCCCGAAGCAACCGTGGAGGTTGTTGAAGAGGAATTGGAAAACTAGTCCGCAGCTCTTGTTCCCTGGTACGAAACGGGAGCTGCGTTGATCAGGTTCGTACCTTACCTGGGGAGTTATATCTCAACGCGTCCGCTCTGTCTTCCATTGAACGATCTCTTGTAATATCTTTAACTACTGAATTTCCTTTATCCGATTCGGCCACGCCGGCCGAACCCATCTCTGCTCTTCTCAAATTTCCTACTCTTGTTGATTCTGGTTCTACTGACTCTTTCATCGATACTCGTTATGTTTCTCAAAATTCTATTCCTACGACCAAAATCTCTCCTGTTAATCTTTGTCTTTTTGATGGTTCATTATCTTCTAAACCCATTACCGATATGGCGAATATCGCCGTTCGGTTCCCTTCTGGCGAGCTGCTCCTATTACCATTTTATGTTACTCATTTAGATTCATCTTGTAAAGCAGTATTAGGTTACAGTTTCTTATCCTGCTACAATCCGTTGATTGACTGGGCATTTCAAAACATTACGTTCCGTAACACTTCACATCCTGATTCTCCACAGACGTCTGTGCCTTCTGCTATCAACCCTGTTGTTGCAAAGGTCGCTGTTCCACTACCGGAACTTTCGCCGTCGGTTTCACTGACAATTCTGGAGACCCCTCCTGGGGACTCACCTCGCTCTCGCTCTCGGACTTCACAGGCGAAGCCCCTTTCGTCCAAATTCCCCTTTGAACCCATCTATTCTTACCCTACGGTCTCTCAATTCGCTGCTCAACTGGAAACTCCCAAGGTCGACATTGCACTCGTCAGTGATGCAGTCTTTAATAGGACTTGCAAGGACGCTGGTATGGAACCCATTCTTCTTCGTGCTATCCACTCAGAGGTCGCGGCCCGCGCCGCCGACCGCTCTTCCAGCACTCCTACTGTCCCTGCACTCCATCCTTCTATCCCAGAAGAGTACGCAGAGTTCGCAGACGTCTTCGACGAGATTGCTGCAGATTCACTCCCTGAACACAGACCTTACGACTTGAAGATTGACTTGGAAGAAGGCGCTTCGCCGCCTCTCCGCCGTATTTATCCTTTGTCTGAAAAGGAGCTAGTCGCCCTTAAAGACTTTATTGACAAACAGCTGGCAACTGGTGCCATCACCCCATCATCCTCTCCTCACGGCGCTCCGGTCCTTTTTGTCCCGAAGAAAGACGGCAAACTTCGCCTTTGCGTCAATTTCCGTGGTCTCAATCATATCACCAAAAAGGATCGTTACCCACTCCCACTCATATCAGATCTTCTGGACGCTCCGAAAAGAGCTAAAATATACACCAAATTGGATCTCGCTCACGCTTATCATCTGGTCAGAATTGCTGAAGGTGATGAATGGAAAACCACCTTTCGGACCCGTTACGGCTCTTACGAATGGAAGGTTATGCCGTTCGGCCTTACGAACGCCCATGCGGCTTTCCAGCGGTTTGTTAATGACATCTTCTCTGACATGCTCGATGTTTGTGTCATCGTCTATCTTGACGATATT